TGCATTTCACGCCGTTAAACATCCCATTTTATAACGAAGGGTGCTCATTTGAATGCGAGTTTGGACGCCTGAGGGCGATCGCTTTGTAGTTTTTCCTTAATTATCTGTTTTGCGGATTCCCACTCATTAAATTGTGGGTGTGTACTGAGTTTCGCCTTATTAGATTCAGCTTTAGGGCATTACGTGATCTGTGAATGGTTCTGATTTTCTGCTTTAGTTTTGTGGTCGTTATTGTTAGTGTGTGAATGTTTTGCATTTGTTTCTTTGTGGTTTTCTGTGATGGGATATTTTATTTAAATTTTAAGCGCTAGTGACTAGTGACCCCTTTAGTTTTTTACGTCCGAATGTGATTATTATTCTCCATTTCAAATCTATGTGTTTTTAATAAATGGAGGTATATGTATGTTTTGAGCATCTATATGCACGTAAATTCTATTGATCATTAATAAAAATGTATATTTATGTTACTAAGTAAAATTATGATACCATTAGGTTTTCAAATTATCCGACTTTTAAATAAGTTTTTAATTAAACAATGATTTTACGTTTAATGATAAAAATTAGAAGATTTAAACACACACCATAAATAGACAAAATCAAGCCAATGTTAAAGAAGAAATGAGGTCATAAGATGTATGTACCTAATAAAAACTCGGAATGAAATCAACCATCACACACCTACATTAAACAATTAACCCAATAACATCAATTCTCTGTATATGACAGCAACAATATTAGGAGAGGCATTACATGTCACTTTCCCTAATAATACCATACAAAAATTGGTGACAGAATCTATTGTGTCTTAACAAGTAGCAGATACAACAATAGGATATATCGCTGCAGGGCAAAGGGTGGAAGGTGATGATAATGTGTGAACTAAATTGGTAGCAGATTTGGGAGACCAAGTAAGCAATTTGTTGATATAGGAGTGTGTTGAAAGATGAAGTAAGAGAGAAATGTGTGTAGATGGTGATGATGATTTGGAAATTGAATGATGATATTTTTTAGTTAGTTTATGTGGACATTAATAGATAACATTTGTGATAATTAAATATTCTTAACCATGATGTTTGAAATCAAATATTTTATGAAACTTTATAAAATATTTGATTTAATTAATAAATAAAGATAAAATAGTTGAGACAAACAATATACATGTATATAATCGTAAATGTTGAAAACAAATAGATAGATCATCCTATTTAATATGTAAAAAGGTTTAAATTTTTTATGTTGTGCGTCCACATATTGCATCAAATCTAAGCTTCTGAAAAAACTCATTGGAACAAGGTATTACCATAGAAGATTTCATAGCTAAACAAGATCTAACACCACAACGTTTAACCACCATCTCCTGTACCCTTAATCCTTTCTAATCACCTTTCACTAAAAAATCTTTTACCATACCCATCGCAGCATTTAAATTTTTACACCACATCCATTCTTCTGGAAGCAATCATGCCCTAAACTAACAAACGTATGCACGACTTAGTTTCTACAATAAAAACTATACTTTTAACTGCTAAGCCATAATTTGTATACGCCGCAGTGTCGCCACGTGCCGCCACGTGGTCTAAAAGACCGTCTCTATTATCCTCAACCCTTCTATCTCTTGCTGTTTTAAGTTTCGCTTGAGTATTTTTTGTTGTGTATTTTTTGGTGGTTACTGAAGTGTTTTTGGATTGACTGCTTCGACTGAGTTTAAGGTGTTTGTGTCGTTTATAGTGTTATTGTGTTTTCTTTTGCGCTTTCATTAATATTATCAATTGTGTGATTGTGTTTTCTTTATGGTTAAGGTGCTGACTCAATTAAATCGCACTTTTTTTAAATTGCTGACAAAGAATTCGTGCAAACTTTTTCAGGCCACTTGAAAATTATCATCCAGAAAAATTACTTAAATACCTTCCCTCATAAAAATTAACCATACCTAAAACATCATCAAATTACCCACAAATTCAACACAATGTAAATGAAACCCTAATTCACCAGAAATAAGATTTTATATCCACTGACAATGAAATCAGAGGGTGGCTTGTCTATATGAATATGTTCACGGTTAATTGACTTGAATGCGTGCGACGGGGCGCGTATAACAGATCTGTTAGCTTTTTATAGTACTATGAAATGTTATGACATGTTTAGACTTGTCCAGACGTGGGAATATTGTTCTGTCTGTGTATAATCTTCTTAGGCAAATATTGGCTTTGATTTGAAGTGTGGGAAGTAGTAGTTCATCACTGGTCTGCCCATCTACTATAGATAATATTCGCGTAATGAATGTGGGACTGCGTTTAGATGGCTTAAGAATATTAAGCCATCATGGCCCAATAAGATTCCCATCTATCAAGGAAGCCAATAATGCCTTTATAATAACTACCGTGAGACATAGTAAATTAACTAATAATCGCGGGCTACTCACGTGAATATTTTGAGAAAATCTTAACTAGTTTCGAACCACAGTGGAGTTCTTCCTTATGAGCGATGGGTGATGTCGAGCAGCCTACTGTACATCGCCGCGACCGCGCACATTGCTCACGAGGAAAAGCTTTTCTCAATATATTCATGTGAGTAACCCGCGATTTTTAGATAAAACCGATAATGTTTTAAAGGGACACTGACTGAAGAGACTTTGTCTTTTCTGTTTGCTCCTGGTCAGGGCGCTTACTCTTGAAACCAATCTCAATGTCAATGCAATTTCAATCCAATATGATCTCAATAATTATTAAATGTCAACACTATACAACCACAATCTTAGCTGTTACAATAGCATTCAGAGTACGGTATATAAAGACAAACTCAATACCATTTAGTTCATTCAATATCTACGCAATACGGATGCAATGGGCTCTAGTATTGCAACTCAAGAGTACGAAATTTCACAATACCAATGTCGATCGATCGGAATTGGATTCAAGAGTAAGCCCCCAGATCTTTAAAGAAGATATCGGAGAGTTGAAGGCAGTTAAACGCTAGTCTAAGGAAAATTAATGATCTTATGCATCACTTTTCCTGCGGGTGACATCAGAGCAGAACAAGGCATTGCAGATTTAAAAGAAACTAGACTGCAGCGGTTTCCTTAAAATATCTCTTAGGAAAAGATGTCAAGTCAAAATAATTTATTTCGATTAGACCAGAAAGTCGTCAACAAAAAATTAAAAGTGTGGCTATTGGCTCCAATAGCTACACTTTTAATTTTTTGTTTTTTTGCGATTTACAGCGCGGTAGCCAGTTGCCCAGCCACCGTACCAAACGTGCAGTTACTGGATTGATTTAGAGAACTTACTGCAGATAGATTATAGTCCGAATTAACGTATGAGTTAGTACAATCATAATAGGGTAGATGACTACTTTTTATTTTAATGTCCATCTGGTAGATTATTTTAAAACATTAGACAAGTATTCTTTATTTTTTTTACAGAAACGAATACTTTCGACGACATATTGATTTGAAGTATCGCATGACGTCACTTCTATGTACATTTTACACGTAGAAATGACGTTTCAGCTCCCGCTCCAAAACTTTGATTCGTTTTATCTAACTATTATTTTACTATACGACAAAATAAAAAAATACGTGTCTAATATTTTTTTATTACCTAACTGATGGACATAATATAACATAACATCACGCCTTTTTATCCCCGAAGGGGTAGGCAGAGGTGCACCTCTGCCGAAATGTGCACATTTCGGCAGTTAATGCCGCTGTACAATGTAACACCCACTTTTCACTACTTATTTATATTATGAGTCCCATGTAATAGGGGCTGAGCCTGTTGCCATATACCGATCACATTTCCAGACTCCGTGCTACTCCTGAGATTTTTAAAAACCCAGTAGTACTTTGCTCGATCCTGGTATCGAATCCAAAACCCGGCAGTCGTACTTGCAACCACTCGGTCAACGAGGCCTAAATGAACTGATGGAGTAAATGGATTTTTAATTTTCATACTACGTCATCATCAATATTATGTACGTGGCTGACATAGAGCTGAGGGCCAAGCACGAGTAACTATCGCATTCGTATCGTAACAGTATCGAGCGAGTTGAGAGTTCTGATTGGTTAGTTCACTTGAGCCAGCCAATCAGAGCGCCGAACGCGCTCGATACTATTACGTTACGAATGCGATACTTATTCGTGCTTGACACTCTGTTTCAAGGATCAATGTTCAGTTAGGTGTGAGTGATCACTTCATGGAAACGCCTCGTTAATGATTTAGAGTTAATGCGGTAAGCTAAATTTAGGTCCATTTACTCGTAAGTAGATTGCTTCAGTTATTTTTAGCACACAAGTGTAACCTGTGTGTTACTGGGATATTTATTGCGGTTGGTTTAACATTTCAATGAGAGTATTTATGTAAACATTGTCGGGGTATTTTCTTTATTATTTTATTTAACAAAAATATTTTAGAAGCTGTAGCTGTTGCCTGCGGCTTTGTCAGCGCAGAATATGATACCTGTTTTATCCCATAGGAGCATATAATCGGGATAAAAAGTATCCTATCATCTAACTCAGTCCATACCCTGCCTGTATACCAAATTCCATTAAAATCCGTTCAGTAGTTTCAGTGTGATTGGCGGACAAACATCCAAGCTAAGAAACTTTCACGTTTATAATATTAGTGTGATTTGCAACCCGGCGTCACAATGTGTTAGGATTTTAAATACTTTTTGTCGATACAAATTTTAATTATAACTATGTCTTACCTAGATTACCTATACTAAATGCTTACATCATTTTCATGATGAAATCATTAAAACTCTTTGATTGTACTGTAAGAAAGTTGTAAAAAAGAATATAAACGTCGAATATGCCTTTAAAATCCGTGTTTTCCGATGGAGAATTTTCCAATTAGAAAAATCGGGAGTAAATTATCCCGATTCTATAGTTAAACCCGCTATCAGAGAATAGTCGAACTAAATGCTCGATAGTCTCCTGCGACTACATCAAATCCATCGGTTACTTGGTCCAAAAAAAATACTTAATGAAATCAACTCACCATCTTTGTTCATTCCCATCGCGAGACATTTCTTCAATCTGCAGGCTTGGCACTGGTTTCTGTGAGCTTTGTCTACGACACAGCGCCCCGTGCCTGCTTGACATCTGTCGACAAATTCAGAATTAATTATTTTGGTCTTATAGCACAGTGCAGTTAAATCCTGGAGTGTTTCGGTAAATAGTGCAGGCATTTGTAGTTAAAAATTGTTAATATTAAGGTAATTTGCATAACAACAGTTGAAATATTCGTTGAATTCCAATGTTAAAATCAAGTTAAATATGTCTGTTTAAAATACAGTTTACAATGTAATCATAATTACAAAGAAATTTCACATAAAAATAAAGGTCCTTAATCCTTAGATACAAAGTATCTAAAACAATATACACCTGAAAATGAATTATTACTTTTCTATTCGATTTTGTAGGCCGTCAACAATTTGTTCCTAAAAACAATAATTGCCAGAGAACCTAAAGATGGCTGCCAATCTTCTAATACATCTTAACCTCTATACCCCACAAAAATCTGCTACCACAGAAACTAATACAGATTAAAGATATTTCATTACCGATAATCCCATTTGTAATAGGCTTACGGCTTCGTTGACATTTGTTGCAATTCCATATAAAAGGGACTGGTCCCAGAATGGAACCCTGTTACACGCCACTCTGGTTTTTGAATTGTAGTAGCTGTTTGAACGTTAGGTGGCAGATTTTTTGATGTTATGTATAGGGATAAGTATTTTGAATATATCTGAGGTAATATTTTGAGATTTCTGCTATTTTTGGCTGATATGAGATGTTTTATTTATTTGAATGCTTTAGCGAACTTGTAAAGTTTAGCGGTGTTCTGGTATTTTTATTAGAAAATTAAATATAATTATAATTTTTTGATGCCCCATTCTTAATTTAGGTTGAGAAGACAAGTATCTCTGTTAAATGTTATGTTCGGGACCAATTAATCAAGATTGTATTTTGGGAAGGCGTGTTATTGATTTGATAAAATTCTGTCATTTTCTCATACTAATTCCTCGGAAAAGCAAATCAGAACAATATATATTATGCCTTTTCTATACCAAATGTCCTACCATCACTAAAATCATGTCACCCAGACAATTTCATACCCATCCACAGACTGATCCTATAAAAAATCATTCACCAACACAAAGGAATCTTCAAAAAATCAATTTGCGAATCATAAAGCTGGTACACATGTCACACTTGACCATCTATCATAAGGCTGGGGTTATATTAATAACATTAGGACGGGTAGCGAATTAATTGAATCGCCACTTAAGAGGGGAGCCAAATGTTAAACAGCTTTTAATGTTATCTGTATTATCGATCAATTTTTTTTTGGGTCGTATGGTCGTGTGCTATTTTTTGTGAAATCTGCAGTACCTATACGTTGGTACTACTGCTGTTTTTGATAATGACCTAAATGAGGTATTAAGGGTGTAGCTATTTAGTGACAATTATTTAAACTTTTAGTTACATCTTAAAATTGTATTTAGTTTATGACGTTTTAATTTTTTTTTAAATAGTGTACTGACAATTTTATAAAAGTGCAGTGCACGTGATATTGTGTTTTGTTATGATTCCGTTATTATTGTAACTAAATGATAAAGTGTTGGACAATAAAATAATATTAAACACATTTGAATTCATATGAAACTAGCTGTTGTTCACGTAAAATATGATTCCTGTTTTATCCCATTGGACCATTTAATTGGGATAAAAAGTATCCTATCCCCTAAGTCACCCCATCCCCTGCTTGTATACCAAATTTCATCAAAATCCGTTCAGTAGTTTCAGCGTGATTGACCGATAAACATCCAGCCAAAGAAACTTACCCATTTATAGTATTAGTGTAAATTGTGTTTGAACATAAATAGGACAAAAATATTCTGAAAAATTCATAAATATTTTACGTTAAAAAAGGCAAAATAATCAAAATATCTTTTATTACAGAAGTACTAAACTAATAAGATGAATAACTACTATACTATATTTTTGATACCTTAAGATAGCATATTTATTATTGTTACTTTTTTAGTTATTCATATTTTAAGTTGTATATCATTATTTAATTTAAATTCTTATTATTATTTAAATTCTTATTAATAAAGTTAGTGTACCTTAGTACCAAAAAAAAACACAATTTTGTCATTTTAAATAAATATATTTATAAATCATAGCAGTAATGCAATGTAATTGAAACAGAGTTCACTTGTAATAAAAACTCAAAATGAAATTTACATCGAATTTTAAATGCCCCTCGATTCCGAATCTTATGGTGAGGACATAGTCCATGAGCGATAGCGATTCTAGTAAAGAGTGTCAAGTTACATTTTGTAACAAAAATTATTAAAAAAGTGATTTCCTATAATTCAGTTTGAACGGATATAAAGGTAGCAACTTTTCGAAAGGATTAACTTGGTGAAAATTATAGTAACAGGGTTTATCGACATCATCATTTTAATTACAAGAAGATCACCACTGAACGCGTGTCACTCTCAAAATATCCAAGAGATTATTCAGGGTCATAAAGGGTCTTCATTGATAAAATTGTGGTCTTAATGGTTTACAATAAAAAAAACCTTAGAAATATCGCATTTAAGTAAAAATATAAACTCAATAAAAAAAAGACATTCAAGATAAAATAAGTAAACATTACAATTAGGTACAATCACTTGAACTAATCAACAACAACCTTTAACCACTAACAATTAAAGTTAATTTTCATTTAACACCCTTCTCTCATCCCGCTCCGCTCCCCACAGTATTCTCTCCTCAACTCCGGTCTCAGATGTACCAAAAATTACAGAACAATGTTGCCAGTGCAATGGATTAAGTGGGTTCAAGTGCTCAAATCTCCCTGTTCTTTCTATTGTAATTTTTGGCGCGGCAACCCAGATGCACTATTGTGTTGTTCATCTCCCAACATGTTCGCGATCTGCGATTTTGTGATTGTAATTTTTGTATGCGATGTTTGTTTTGATTTTTGCTTTCCTTGTTGGCATTTAATGAAACTGGAACATATTACGAATAAACGTTTGCTATCAGGGTTAAAAAACAAATGAATGTATTATGTATTAATTGTGAACCTGATTGTAAAAGAGTAATAGCGTTTAGAGCGCGCCAAATTTTGTGTTAAAGTGAATTGTTGCTAATCTTGTTTCCTTAGGCGCTTGAAAAAAAGGGATATTTTTGTACATACACACTACTAAACCGAGCAGACGGACCACCTGGTGGTAAGCCATCGGCGCCGCCCATGGATATCCAAAACACCAGAGGTGTTACAAGTGCGTTACCGGCTTTTTGGGGATTAGGAATTTGAGAATTATTAACGATTCTGGGATTGGGAAGATTGGGGAGACGAAACACGACGAAACTCAATGCAGCGTTGTTTCACGTCGGTTTTTTGATCACTCCGGTCGAGCCGGCCCATTCGTGCCGAAGCTTGGCTCTCCCACACTTAACCTACTTGATAAAATACATAGACAGGGACATAAAGAGATTATGCCTAGCTCTCACTTTATAATGACACTAAAGAGTAACACACTATCGACTTCCACACGTTCTATTGTCTCCAAAAATGATCCAAATTATTAGTATTAGGTCATGTCAATAAGGTTGAATGTATTGACTCACATACAAACAGTGTTACTAAACATTATAGTTTTTAGTTGTTGGTACAGCTTCGGTACAATTGTGTCGCAGCTGTGACCTGATGGTAGAACTTTCTCTTTTAATTTGTATTGGTAGACTAGTGCCGATAATTTATGAAACCGAAAAACATTGTAGGCTAGACATATGCCAAAAATACATTACAGTTGAACTGGGTTGACTTCTTTGAACTTTTACGTTTTTATAAGCCATCGGCAATATCACACAATCAAGTAGTTTCTTTTTGGTATCCTAACCTAGGAATTGGTGTTGAATATGAGCCCCAGAAAGTGTATAATTGGCCCAACAATGTCACGATATCGACTTTTTATGAGTAAAGTAGCATACGGATCACCTGATGGTAAGCAGTCGGCGCCGTCAATGGACACCTGAAACACCAGAGGTGTTACAAGTGCGTTACCGGCCTTTTGTGAACTGGGAATTTGAGGATTGTAGGGAATTCGGGGAATGAGGAGACTAGGTAGGGGGGTAATTGGGCGTCCGGTAACCTCACTCATACGACGAAACACAACACAAGCGTTTTTTCACGTCGGTTTTCTGTGAGGCCGTGGTATCTTTCCGGTCGAGGTGGCCCATTTGTGTCGAAAAATGGCTCAAAGCGTGGGACACTTAATCAAATGAAATCAAATTAATAATTCTGATAGAATGTAGACATTCTCAATGAAAGAACTCTAAATTATACCGAAACTTCGAAAATGAAGACGATTTGACGGAGAGACAAAGACAGAAGTTCCAATTGAGGTCTTGGAGTTAGTTTTCTCAACCAATATTATCTAAATAATATTATATAGTTTTAATAAATTGCTGCTGTATTTCAGTCTATCGGTGATCACGTAATGAATCAAGTATGCAAACAATATACGTACCCTAAAAAAACATTTCGAAGAAAAACAAAATTTCTGCTAAAACCGATGATGAAGACTTTAAAAGACACATCATAAAACAATTGCTCATCGGCAACACAGTTGAGCAATCAAAATATGTATTCCTAAAACCAGCACAAGAATACAAATATCTAAATAAAATGGAAAATGTAACACAAATATATGACGCAATGGAAGTTTCACATGTTAGTTCCAGATACTGCAATATAGCTAATACAATTGTTCAAATATTATAACAATGTTTGCGTGATCTAATTTACTGGTGACTTACATTTTTTGTCGCTTCTAGATATTGTTTACTTACTAACTAGTCGAATTCAATTATTTTTTCGAACTGTCAAAAACGACAGTTTTCTATGAATTTTGTACGGCATTGTGTATTATTTGTGCGTCACGTTTTTTTAGTCAAACAGCATAATATTTTTTTTTTAAATCCTGGAAAAATACTAAAATTAAGTTGGTCATAAAATTTTGTTGTCTATAATCATACACGCTTTCACATTGTACTTCTTTAAAATAATCGTTAATTAGAAAATTTTAGAAAGAAAATTCAAGAAGCAGAAGGTATTTAACTATTGTTTTAATAACCTGAGTTCATTACATTTAGGGCGTGTTTCATAATGTCTGTTTGGATTGTCGCTAGCGTCATTAACAAATGATCTTTTTAACCGACTTCAAAAAATGGAGGAGGTTCTCAACTCGACCGTATATGTATATACTTTTCTATTACACTAATAGGAAGTCAAAAATTTAATCAGCCATTGTGAAACAAAGCTCAAACAGTTTCTGAAGTCCAGAAAAATATTAACCTACTTCTACAAGAGTTAAAGGTGGTGGAGATCTTAGGTAAATAGTCGTAGTAGTTATAAGAAATTTTAATCATTACATAGTATAAAACAAGGTCGCTATCCGCCGCCTGTCTGCCCCTATGTTTGCTTAGATCTTTAAGACTACGCAACAGACGGATTTTGATGCGGTTTTTTTAATAGAGTGATTCTTAAAAGGAACGTTTATATGTATAATAAATACAGATTGCACCCGTGCGAAGCCGGGACGCGTCGCTACTAAAATATAAATAAACACAAACCTGTAAATAAGTTTCCTCCTGACAGATCTCTTGAAGAATCCACTGCAGCCGTTACAAGCGAGGATGCCATAGTGTTTGCCGGAACTTGTATCACCGCAGACCACGCAGATGAGACCTGTAGAATAGGATGAGATTAAAATGATACTAAAGTGTAAGGCCGTTATGGGAATTTAGATTTTTGCTCAGTAATCTGCCGCACGACTAAAGACTGCACGGTTGGTGCGGTGGCTGGGCAACTGGCTGCCGTGCACGACACAGGAGAAAATCCTAATGTAGGGGCAACGTTTTAAAAAAGAAATCTATGTCGTCAATCATTGCAGGCCCTGACAGACCAGCTACAGGTCTTCTCTACATAAGAGGGTATTTCATAGTATGTATAATTGACAGTAAGAATAGACGCCGCAGTATTAAAAACACAGGTTCATCACAGAGCCCGGTCTCTATCAAAAGTGCAGTCAGAGCGATGATGAAAGAAAAAAGGAGACTTGGGACTATCAACGAGTTGAGGTTATTAAAAAAACTAAAAAATTAAAAATTATTCGAATAATTTTTTTTTTGCGTTAAAACAAACAAATAGACTGCACGGTTGGCGCGGTGGCTGGGCAACTGACTGCCGCGCAATATGTCGCGGGTTCGATTCCCGCACGGAACAACTCTTTGTGTGTTCCACAGATTGTTGTTCCGGGTCTGTGTGTCATGTATATGTGAACTTGTATGTTTGTAACCGCACCCACGACACAGGAGAAAATCCTAGTATGGGGCAACGGTTTTAAAAAAAAAGAAAAAAAAAGTTGCGTTTGAAAGTTTTCAAAGTTTTAAAACAAATCAAGTACCATATAAGGATGACCGATGCCAACCTGTCTTACCCAAATGGTTGGTCTTCTTGCTGGGTGGGTCTGGTAGCCAGGGTCGTAACGCTGGTGGAGCCAGGGCAGCTGCCACCAATGCAGCTGAGGACGGAGGGGACCATCTTAGAGGTGATGCGTTGCCTTCACCTGGTGGAGAGAAGAATAAAGTTAAAAACATGACAACATTGATAAATAATACGTTACAAGTAGCTGTACGCTCTTGAGAAGATAAATTAATTTGTGGTTGGTAGTCTGATATTTTGAAGTTGTAAGGCCATATCTGGGGACATGTCGTGGTGGCCCGGAGGTATGTCGTGGTGGCCCGGAGGTTTAAGACGCCCGCTTCTCATGCATGAGGGTGCGAGTTCAAAACCTACCAACGGCAAGTACCAATGTGACTTTTTCCGAGTTATATGTACTTTCTAAGATTATTTAGACACTACTGACAAACAGTGAAGGAAAACATCGTGACGAAACCTGGGCTTATAATTTCTAATTATAAGTTTGAAATCGCCAACCCGCATTGAGCAAGCGTGGTGATTAATGCTCGAACCTTCTCCGTGTGAGAAGAGGCTTTGCTCAGCAGTGGGCATTTATAGGCTGTTGATGTAATCTGGGGACACGGCAGAGCCCCAGCTAAGTCTCGAGCTAAGCGGGCACGGTCCTAAGTCACTGTTATTATAATGTAAAGAAACCTATTCATATAGTCACAAAATATTGATTTGCTGCTTCTATGCGATCTCAATACGTTTTACAATGGAAGAATTGCGTAGAGAGGCTTAAGTTTTTTAACATTTAATGTCTCGGTTGGGATTAAATTTTCATGTAACCACGAATCATCAACAGCTTATAAATGCCCACTATTGAGCAAAGCCTCTTCTCACATGGAGAAGGTTAGAGCTTTAATCACCACGCTTGCTCAATAACCACGAATGCTTAAAAGCATTAGACAAGTCAAAATTTATTAAAGGGCTAAAAACCAAACGACTTGTTCTTGTTGGAATGTTAGACATTGAAATTGTATCTGATCTTATATCTTATCTTGACTATTATATAAAGCGGAAGAGTTAGTTTTTTTGTTTGTTTGTTTGAACGCGCTAATCTCCGTAACTACAAGTCTGATTTGAATAATTCTTTTTGTGTTGGATAGAGCATTTATCGAGGATAGGTATAAGCTATAAAACATCACGCTACGACCAATAGGAGCTGAGCAGAGCGTGTGAAACCGCGCGGAAGTACCTAGTGTATGATAAAACCACGCCAAATAAAATTGGCTTCTTACAATTTTAACAGAGATGTCTCATGAACAACGGAAGGGACAAAAATAAAAACTAGACCATACAAAATTTTCATCACTTTTACGAACCCAGTCAAGACAGAAGTACCGAGTGCCAACATACAATAGTTTAATACTATCACATTGCCCCCAAATATTTAATCTCGATAAAGCTAATAAAATAACCATTGCAAATCACACCCTTTCATTTTAATAGATTCCTACATTTTCATACGAGGGGTAACACTCAAGCGCAGGACTGAGAGCTATCAAATTCGAACCTTATTCCAATGTTGATAAGAATGATTGTTTGAAAGTGTGTGATAATGGGTAGATTAAGACCAAATGTGTCGAATCAATTAAGTGATTGAGGTTCGCACAAATTGATTGCAGCGAATTTAAGGGTACAGAGTTCATATTAAAGGAGTTGGCATATTGATCAAAATATTTTGGGCGAAGATGTGGTCAGTGGGGAAGGGAGATAGAGTGTGTTGGATATATTGCTATCTTTGTTTAACATTTGTAAAGTGGTTCATAGAATGAAGAGTTTCGTAAGTAGTGTAGCGGCGATAAATACGAATTCAGTATTTACTGACGCCAAAAAAGGCTATGTTAAACGCATAATTGTCGAACAAAATAAACTAAATTGATAATAACTTCTTAGATTAGCTATTTTAGAGTAAGTTTCTATAAAAAAAAATGTAATAAAAATCAATTTGCTGCACAAACAAACGAAATATCAGAACTGACAATTAAAGACCATAGATACACGAATAACGAGAGGTGGCATATTGCATTAGCACACTCCCACAACTAAATGTTGTTATGTAGTTACTGCGTGTGTGTGACATCGCCCCCACGAATTATCTTGTTTGACACAGAGCTGGGAGAGTACAGACGTGGTTAGGAATGAAAGAGATAGATATAGTGACTGTTTTATAATAGTGCATTGATTTCGTAGAAGGTATGCTTTTTGTTTTTTTTTTAATGCTTTTCATAGTAGTATGTCCTAGCTTGCAGTGGCTTAATGCGAAGATGTTAAGATCAAATTCTACGGGATGCTGACACAGAAGGGGACGAAAATGGGCTGATGATGTACAATTGTGCAGAATACAAATATACTATAACATTTGTTATTACCAGATGAAATAAAACAGTATTTGTAGTGGACATGCCACTAATTTCTCAGCTTCTCGATTTTGCTAAGTTTACTATGGGGTAAAGATAAAAATAGGTTTAAGGAATCACGACAAGTAATTACAGCATCATTACACCATCGAAAAAGTTTTGAGACAAAGCCAACCCAGGAATCTAAAATATTTAATATTTCCAAAATCTTAATCAACGAAGCACTCTCTTTAAAGATATCCTTATTTGGGTACTTGCCAACTAGTCAAATTCCATACTTTTTTCGAACTGTCAAAAACGACAGATTTCTATTAATTTTGTACGAAATTGTGTAGTGTGACGTCACGTTTTTTTAGCGTCATACAGCATAGTTACTTATTTGTTAAAAATTTGCTGTAATCATACTAAAATTAAGTTAGTCATAAAAACAATGAATGAAATTGTGATAATTTTCTATTATTTTATTGTATTGAACAGTCGAAATAATTTATTTCTGATTAAGGCAAGTACCCATATCTTTCTGCCAACTCTATACCACATATAACTCTGCACTCCATACGTGTAGACTGGCCCCAACACTTGATACACGTAAATAATGGACGCAGTGCACTTTAATTGCATTCCAGCAATTAATTGTAACTACACTCGTATTGTCATCAGTACTAATTGCTAACTCAATTTTTGACGGGTTGGGGACAATAGGGACTGACGTTGATTGGGGCTTAGGTTTGTTGTGATTTGTAGTTGCTGTTGTGCAAATTATTACTTAGATTTCTGTTATTCTTCGCCATATTTTAGGATTTTCTTGACTAGTTTTTACTTAAATTTGTTAGTACCTAATAAGGACCGTGTCTGAACTGAACCTAAATTCATTTAGGACTTAAACCACCTCATGAATACATCGACATCCCGTGGCATCGACATCCGTGGTCTACTACTGGCAATAGTCTAGTTACGATAATGGCCACAACTGAAGTGTTTATTTATTTATTTATTAGTATAGGTAAGTATACCAACAGCTTTTGTATTTGTAATATTAAGAAATAACATAGATAACAATAGGTATTGGACTTAATTATACAGTCGCCAATAATAGGTTAAACAACTTTACAATTAAGTGATAAAACACTAAACAAACGAACAAGAAGAGAATGTTAGTAAATTGAAAATTGTGTAGCTAGAGAACAGGGCTTAGTAGGCGGGTTAAAAATTCAGGTTTATCAGAGAAAGCTGCTGCACGATCTCTGTTAAACGTGTAGTCCTTTAGTTGGCTCTTAGAACACTTGTGGGAAATAAAATAAAACATGTACCTAAAAAGATTAGGTCCTTGACCGCCTTGCTTAGAAACCTAAATTAATGAAATTCGATTATGATTATTTTTTGTGCATGTGATTATGTTTTCGTAATGTAAATTAGCTTGTCTCTTTTTTTTCTTAACCGTGGGATAAAAGTAGCCTATGTGTTATTCCAGATCATAATCTACCTCTACACCAAATTTCATCTCGATCCCTACAGCCGTTCTAACGTGAAAGAGTAACAAAACACACACATACATACATCCCCACAAACTTTCGCATTTGACCTTATCAGCAGTCAATCCAAAAAAACAGTTTTAATAACAAATGAATCCTAAAACACGCGCTTCAACCCAACATCCAATCCACACACATACACATAGTAGAAATCTCAAATCACACCGCAGTCAGGCCACAATATGTGAGCAATACAAAATCAATATAGACGAGATTGCTCCCTTGAGGCCCGTCGCACATGGGACCCTGATATCGTACGGTTCAAACGGTATATTGATATTATGATACGGCTTTGTATAGAGATTTTTGGGTTCAGTGTAGGGGTGTCTGTGTTTAAATGTTACTTAAGATATTTTTGGTGGTTGAGCCCTTGTTATTTTTTTTTTTGTTGATTTCATTTGTGAATGTCTTGCTTTAAGGTGCTGGCAACCGATAGGTCAAGCAATAATTGAAGTCACCGAGGAAACACAGACTCAAAGAAATTTACTTTTTAGCGGTTAAAATTCATTGAGTTGTCTAAAATAGGTGCAAACTTTCTTGCAATTTTATAGGACGGGAATCTGAGGCAATAAGAAAAGAAAAATGAATCGCAGAGCCAATGGCTAAAGAATTTTTTCAAATACGCAACACACCACCAAGCTCCCTTCTACGCGGCACTAGAGTATGTCACACCATAGTCTGAACAATTTCTTCTTTCAAGTCGTTACATTCTTGGCAGACTTGCAGTCGTCATGCAGGTGTGGGAGCAAGCTTCACAACACGTCGCCACTCCTCACGCACTGCAGCTCTCGACATGCATTAGTGAATTTATGCAATTTTCATGTGATCAACAGCTTTTCTAATTACACAAACTCACCATATTTCGACCCCACCCAAAATCACACTCATAACCCCCCAGCCCAATGAGACAGTACCTCCGATATACCACCAAAACACCGTTCACAAATAACGTTCCAATTTATGTCACAATACATTTTCCGAGGAGAAACGGCGGAGAGCCATAAAAGAAAATTTTATAAGACACATAAAAAGTTTCTGGGCCCGAAATTGGAAGTCAGCGGGAAGAGGAAGCGTCGCCTAAATCCTGGGTATCAGGATAAATCAATGTTTGTTTGTGTTAGAATGCCACTTATTCGGGATAGCGAGGTCTGTTGAGTCGGTTTGGTGTAGGTTTTTTGGTGGGTATAGATTTAAGCGGACATTTTTAAGGTAGGTTTTGAGAATAGTAAAATACGTGTAAGATAAATGAAAATATTATACAGAATTAAAATTGATTTCTAGACATATATCGTATATTTTTATTTATCTCATAAGAATGTGCTAACGAAACGATCCTTCTGTATCTATCCAATTTATTAATCGGTTTTAGTAATTCATTTAACTCCTTAATCGATTAAAAAGTTAGTAATTAGGCACTAGTTTTAAGTGTGGAAGAGCCATGCTTCGGCACGAATTCCTCATCCCTCTCCCCAATCTCCAAAATCCCTGAATTTCCAACTATCTCTAAATTCCTAATTCTCAAAAGACCAAGACCTTGTAACGTCTCTCGTGTTCAGGTTCAGATTCATCACCATCAGGTGATCCGTACGTTACCGTTTACCGACTCAACATATAAAAAAACTAGTTCTCATTTAGAAGATTAATTTCCGATATACATTCTCACATTTAACAATTAAATTCTACCCTCATACAAAGACATGAGACTACCAAATCACTTTGAGCCACACTCAACTTTTACTTACCAAACAACTCTCAACAGCTTCCCTATTCCAGCGCAATAGAAACTTTGTCGCTTGCCGTTTTATTTGGTTTTCTTTTGACGCGGCAGCCCTTGAGCCGGTCTGATTAATTTCACCCCCCTCCACCCTCTAGGGTTGTCGTTCAGAAGTGCCTCTACCGTCTGAATAACGGATTTTGTTGGCCTTTACTGATTTTTTAAAAGAGGAATTGTTGTTTTTTTTTCTGCTGTTCTGGAGGTTAGGAGAAGGAGGATCCGACTGCTGCTAGTGTTGCTATAAGCAACACTATGTTTTTAATGGGATAACCTGGTAAACGAGCTGACGGATCACCTAATGGTACTCAATCGGCTTCGCCCATGGATACCTGGAACACCAGAGGTGTTACATGTGAGTTACCGGCCTTTTACGGATTAGGAATTTGAGAATTCAGGGATTGGTGAGATTGGGGAGGGGGGAGGGTAATTGGGGATCCAGTAACCTTACTCATACGACGAAACACAACGCAAGCGTTGTTTCACGTCGGTTTTCGATTCGGCCCATTCGTGCCCAAGCAATGCTCTCCCAAACTTTGATTTAGCTTAATATCTCAAAAAATCGTCTGTCTAACAAGCATAGTCATTACTAAGTAAGTAGATATATTCTGTATGGCATTTTCCTGAATCCGTTCCTGTCAGACGTATGAGATCGCTTGATCGATGCGACGGGAAGCCAAGAAAAAAAAAACTGTTTTTTTTTTTTATTTGAGATGGACGTTTACAATTCTACTTTTATATGGAGTTTCTCCAATGGATATTTCCATTAGAGAAATAATATTTATAAGTCCATAGTTCCATACTAGTGTAAGCAGAAGTACCTATGCAAGCATTCGTATCCGACGGCGCACGGCGTTTGGTTCCACGGAATAAAGTAAGAAAATTGTAATTCCATGGCGCAATGTTTTATTATAAAAAGTCTCTTATAAAGATTTATGTCTAATTTAAACAGTCTCTTTTTATCAGTCATATGTATATCTGTTCTAATTAAATCACAGTTATAAATTGACAAATTAATGAACATTGAACGCAATATTTTTCTACTTTTAAATCTGTATATTCAGCCTCACTGTCATATAAAGTCCAATCATTACATTTCCACTAGCATTAAAGTGAACATCTAAAATAATTTCAACCTAATCACATCATCGCTAACAACAAACAAAATTGCTAAGTCCATTACATTCCCCGAGCTACAAAATTATCCTATACACAGTCGCAATACACACAGAGTTAATAAAATACCCAATATTCAAAACGCGGTGCCATTATGCGAAAATGAAATTTCAAATCCCCCTCAATGTATTGGTTATTTCGTATTCAACGTGCACTCTGACAGGGTAAAGTGGCAAATCATGGAGAGGCTGAAAATCAGTCAAATAGACCCCCGAGTTACTGGCTGGCGAGATCTGAATACTAATGTCGCCTTTGCCTGTTAAAAAAGTAGCAAGAAGTATGGCCGCCGCGCGGGAACGGCGGGAAAATATTGTCTGTGGCGCGTCGTTGTTTAGAGTCAATTTATAGGGATGAAGTTTTTTACATGTATATTTCTATTACATGCATATTTTTAGATATAGAAGTGTGTGTGAAATTTAATAATGTGTTAATTGAAAGTATAGGTTATTCCAGGGTCACAACAGTTTGTGAATATAGGACCAGTAACTAAGTGTGTGAGAGCCATGCTTCACGGTACAAATGGGCCGAGCATAAAACCGATGTGAAACAACGCTTGCGTTGTGTTTCGTGTTTGCCTCCCCAATCTTCTCAATCTCTCCAATCCCTAAATCCCCAACAATCTTCAAATTTTTTATCCCCAAAAGACCGGTAACGCACTTGTAACGCCTCTGATGTAACGGGTGTTCATGTGCATGGGTGATGCCGATTGCTTACCATCAGGTGATCCGTCTGCTCGTTTGCCGGCTTATCCCATAAAAAAAACTATTACTCACTTTTATCCAAGTGAGTTTTGCATGTAATGTTTTTCCGTATCTTCTCATAATTATAATGATTATGATACATTATCTTATTATCTTATATATATAAAAGAAAGTTGTGTTAGTTACACTATTTATAACTCAAGAATGGCTAAATCGATTTGTATGAAAATTGGTGAAGAGGTAGCTTAGAACCAGGAGACGGACATAGAATACTTTTTACCCAATACTTTTTTTTTACTTTTTACCGAAAATCAAGAACGGGAACGGGAAATATCGGGATTGCGCGTACGAAGTCACGGGCAGAAGCTAGTATCATTATAATTAAAATGTTTGATACATCAAACAATTAAACATTGTAGTCATTGTCACCGCAATATTGTAATAGCTTGGTACTTCAAAATAACCGATTCCATGAATTATAAAACTACATTTTGAATGTCAGTCTCTGTTCTACATGATAATTCTTGACTTCTAATATTTTGTTGTTCGTGTCGAAATAAAAAGTTGTTACTTATCTTAATTTGTTCTCGGAACACAATAAGTAGTCCTGTTAATACTTTTTTTTATAAAACTTTGTTATTGTGTAAATTGTGTCATACAAAGTAAGTATTAGTACTTAGGTATCTGAGTATTTTGGTTATAGAACATAACATAACATCAAGTCGGTCGCAAGTGCGACTGCCGGACAAGGGGTTTCGGGTTCGATTCCCGGGTCGGGCAAAATATTACTAGGTTTATTAAAATTATCAGTAGTAGCACGGAGTCTGGTAATGCGCCCGGTATATGGCAATAGGCTCACCCCCTGTTATGTGGGACTCATAACATAAATGGTGAAACGTGGGTGTTACATTGTACAGTGGCATTAAGTGCTGTAATGTGCACCTCTGCCTACCGCTTCGGGGATAAAAGGCGTGATGCTATGTTATATTGTGTCTGAAGATTTTGTTTATATGTCTTTGTTTGAACGCACTAGTCTCCGAAACTACTGGATCGAATTGAATGATTCCTTTTGTATTGAATAGTCCATTTATCGGGGAAGGATATAAATCAACTCACTAGTTTTATATAAAACTAGCTGTTGCCCGCCACTCCGTCCGCGTAGAATATGATTCCTGTTTTATACCATGGGAGCGGAATCGGAATAAAAAGTATCCTATTATCTAAGTCAGCCCATACCCTGCCTGTATATTAAATTTCATTAAAATCCGTTCTGTAGTTTCAGCGTGATTGACGGACAAACATCCAAACATCCAAACATTAAAACATCCAAACATCCCAACATCCAAACATCCAAACATCGAAACGTCCAAACAAAGAAACTTTCACATTCATAATAATAATAGTGTGATATCTCTACAATTTGCCTACTTACCAGTAATTCTCCCATCCGTGTGATCTTGAGTCAACTGCAAAGGAGTTTGAGCGACCTCCATCTTGAAATATATTCTAAAATTCACTTTTATGCACTGAATTTACTGCTAGTTATACGAAAAGGTTCATAGTCTTTTTCACAAATATTTTAGACCTGTATCCGAAATGTCAAAGAACTTTTTATGAATACTTGAATTACAAAAAGACATAATTAATTATCTTAAATAGTTATTAAGATTAGGAGAAATTACATTAACACAGAACTGTGGGCTTACTCTTGAATCCAATTCCGATCGATCGACATTGGTATTGTGAAATTTCGTACTCTTGAGTTGCTCTTGATATTTAATGAACTAAATAGTATTTTTTTTTAATGGGGGACAATCATCGAATGCCTACTGCCCGCCTGGGTGAGGCGGGAGGGAGTGTCAGACTGTTACTTAGTAAAAACCACCCCGTTCCTTCTCCTGCATGTCGAGCCGGAGCCCCGGTAACCCGTTAGGTTCTCCGTATTGAGTTTGGCTTTATATTTCGTACTCTGAATGCATTTTTATAACAGCTACGATAGGGGTTGTATAGTTTTAACATTGAATAATTATTGAGATTTTATTGGATTAAAATTGCATTGACAGTGAGATTGGTTTTAAGAGTAAACACCCAGATCTACGCGGGATACAATGGCTTTTCTATTTTGTCTCATATACTAACATTTCAGCGGTTCAACAATCTATAAGATACACTAGCAAACCCGGCGAACTCCGTTTCGCCACCAGATATAACATTTCGTTTGGTGATTAAAAGATGAAGAAAAATTTTAAATTTTTTTCCTGAATTTTCTTTTCTATAACCCTACGGAGCCCGAGACCTTTCCAACGAATGCAAAACCGTAGAAATCGGTTCGTGCATTCTGGAGTTATAGCGTCAGGAAGGAAAACCTGACTTATTTTTATATAGTAGATTAACTCAGTATTTTAACAATTTTGTCGTTTGATCGGCACTAAGTCACCTAACTAGATTCGGTCCTGTTTTCCGTCAGCTAGTGTTCATGGAGCCGGTTAAATCTTAAACATCTGACTGATACCTAACAGTAGTGCTCTCTGATAAACCCGAAAAACTCCAACTGCTTATCAGGCATATTATTTTTACGGCATTAGAAGTAGACGACAAGATGTTCCTTCTAACATCCCCCCCGGTAAACTGACTGAAGTCAAAGAGAGATATAACAGGTAACTGCAGGAGAGAAAGAGAATTTAAAGTAGAAGCTTTGGTTGCCCTATAAAACCCTTTTATGTAAATGGGTATAACCTGGGTGTCTTCAAGGCCCGAGTGAAGAGGTTGCTTATGGGTTGACGTGCTCCATCGTAGGCCGTATGATCGCTTACTACTAGGCGAGATAGTGGTCAAACGTCAGCCCATTGGATATTAGAAAAAAGGTTATACTTCGCCCTCGACATATGGCAAAGAGTCACAATACATAATTTTTTGGTAATACTAAAATTATATTCACGAAATATATAACTATATTATCGTAATATGCTTTGATGAAAACAAAAGTAATTTCGTCAAAGATTATTCATATTTACAGACATTAATTTTTGAATTTTAATATCAACCTTTTTGTTTGATATTTATTTGAACAGATGGTTATTATATTATTAAGTAACATCATTATTAAATCAATAGATTAACATCAATAGCATTTGAACGTCCACTGCTTGATTAAAGACCTTCTTTACACAATATAATAAAATAATGGATTATGTCTTAATGTACACGTCTAGGCTGAATAAGTTTTTTTTTATCTATATTTTTAATAAGGAGTTTTTTCAATAGAGAATATATGTCACCCTGTGATTAAATATTGGTTGCATTATTTAGTGATTGCAGTTTAAAACGTCCAGGTTTATCAGAGAGCGCTACAGTCCAGTCTCTATCAAATATATTGCAGTCTTTAGTTAACTCTAAAAACAATTATGAAAAGATTTAGGATTAGGAACTTACAAAAGACAATATATTAATTCTGTTGTCACCTCACGGTTACGTTAATATTCCTCATTTAAATTTAATTAACCTTTCAATTGTCTTATACACGGCATGTGCATCTATATTGGAAGATTTGCCTTCATCAATTATCTTCTGAGAATCAAAAACAAAAAAAGACCAATGAGATAAATGAACTATTGCAGCTTTTAATTATTTTTAAAGTAATTAGATAGTCAATATTCTACTTATTTTAAAGTTAAAGTACCTACTTGAAACTAATAAGTACGGTGACTAATGATTTAATAAAATGTTATAAAGGTGGAAATAATATTTTCCTGAGACTTAAACACTTGACCAGTAAGATTTTAGGGGACTGCTTGAATAATATTTCCTAATGGACAGTTGAAGAACAGATTTTGTTTGTCGCAAAAACAATTTTAACATTCATTTACTTGAAGGTTTCTTCTGTTCTCAAATAGATAATTATATTAACTATGTCCTTTTGTAATTCATAATTTTATGCCAAAAAATATAGAAAAAAATACAAAATTAATTTTACAATAAAATACAAAATGCAATACCGTTCACAGTAAAAACGAAAACCCGAACGTATTTCCCTCCAAATTTTGACAGAACAACCACGTGACGTTTCACTTTTGACGTTTATATTTTTCTAAGCACGGACGGGCAAAGACCCGCGCGCGTTATGCCACGGCCGGAGAACTTTTGACGCGATATTGCCTGTGAGCTTGAAGGCGTGGCGTGGCTCCGCCCCGTTGCTTTTCGCGTCTGACTCTGTCCCCCAGACGGGGGGACACTTCGATTTTGGGTCAGCTGTTAACCGTCCGTTTTAAGCTTTAATTTGTGGCATTACGGCGCTGTTGCGTCGGCCCTGTCGTTTAGAATAATGCTCTCGTACATTTTAACGTGGATTGAACGTTCCGTTTTCCAATTACAACGCGAAATGCTTGTTCGAATTTATATGGAAACAATTAGATGTGGGTTTGTTTATTGATATTTCATTTCTTTTATTTTTCTAAAAAAAATATCAGATCGTTCTGTAAAATTCGACAGCACTAGACTTTATAACTAAAGCTTTCTTCTATTAACAAAGTGTTTAAGTCCATATTTCTAGGTTACCTATTTTTATTTTATATTATCTATCTCCAGACAGTTTATTGATACAGCTAACTAAAGAAAATACGTTGTCAATGTATTTTTTCTTTTCTTTTGATCCTCAATCGATCAATCTGGTCGGCCCATCTATCATCAATGTCATTTAATAGACTTTACCGACTTTATTTTGTCTTATGGATATAATTCTGCAAGTAAATATATCAAATTAGACAGAAGCTAAATATAGACGCTTTAGTTCCTTCGATATTTAAATTTAATTGTGTCATAGCTTATTACGTCACGTCAATAAGGAATATTGTTAACGAGATTCCTTGTTGGGTTTCCCTTGCAATTCCGACAGAGTTTTTTTTTTTTTGCAACTCAAATAAGGTTAAATACTGGTGCTGTTACGTCAAAAGACAAAATCAAAGTGGAAATACTCACATGAAGTACTTCAAAATATGTCTATTATCAAAACAATGAGTGTAGTTTGAAAAAAAAATCTGTTAAACATGAGTCCTAATTTTATTAACTTGTATTTTTTTACAATAAAACCGTTCCCTTACGTACCTAAGGTCTAAAAACAAAGAGGTTTACATACCTACACATAAAATGACATTTGATATCACCCAATAAGAGTTCCCACATTTGGCAGGGCGTGGCGTGATGCCTTTGCCCGCGGAAAACAACCGTCATAGACGAAAAGTCAACAGTTGCCGCGTTTTCATTGGACGCGGTGAGATTTGGCGCGAAATGTTTCTGTCAAGATTGGGTGCTTTTTGATGCCCTTGTGTATGATCGTCTTTACATAGACGTTAAGATATTGTATTGCGGTACCTAATTGCAACGGTCAAATATAAAAGTTGATTCTTGTGTCTCAAAATGACATGAAAACATTGGAACGAAGTATCTATGATTGTACTGGAAGGAATAAATATTGATTTAAGATGACAGTTACCCAGTCTTTACTAATTACATGTCACTTAACTTGTTATAGTATCTCTAGGTAATGTTGCGGAGAACTTAACGGGTTACCGGGCTCCGCCTCGACGTGCAGGAGAAGGAACGGGGTGTTTTTTAGTCAGTAAGAGTCTGACACTCCCTCCCGCCTCACCCAGGCAGGAGCAGTCATTCGATGATTTTCGCCCCTTAAAAAAAAATCCCTAGGTAATAATTACTGGTTGGTCTACTAAGAGGACCTGGTGTCTCCTTCAGGTGCGGATGGTGGCCACCGGGGAGGTTTTAGTGAGGTAGAAATCTCACTAGTCTATATTCCCCAAAAAGCTAAGCGCCTTTTTTCACCCCGTCAACAAATATAAATGTTTACTGACACCACGTTGAACTGTACTTTAATTAGTAAGTACGACTTAATAATTACCTCTCTAAAGTCTTACCTATAAATTAGGAAGCTTCTCAAGTAGAAAATTAATAAGTCTTTAGAATAGAAAAGAAAAAAATTCTAAAAAATATAGTCTCTAGAAGAATAGGTACACCTGCATCTTTAGAATTAAGTAAATTGTTTTTTTTATTTCATAAAGTTTTTATTAATTGTTCAATATCAATAAAGATAAACCTTTTTCAAAAACATCTTAAAACCCGACCAAAATCTACCCAACATTACACAAGACAGTAACAGACAAAATAAAATAAATTCTACATTCAAATTCGCTCGCAATCCGTGCCAAAGGAACCCCGAAAACTACCCACAAGTCAATCGCCAAACTGCGAGTTTCACCCCATCGCCCCCACTCTATCGACCTCCCATATCACCCCGAATTACTACTCAACCCCCTAAAACCGCAGTCTTCGGTGACAGTTCAATAAGGCACGGCGACCAATCGCGGCAAACGTCGCCCGGTATAAGCCAATAGGATTAACGCTATTCACATCCCTTTTTCTCTAAGGGAACATTGTGTAAATCTGTCTTGCTCTAACGCACGGTAGACGGATTCTTGATTCGATTTCGATTGAATTCTTTATTTGAATTTTCTTTTGTTTTTCACTTCGTTGAAAAGGCATGTCTTATAATATTAACTGCCTGTTCTTTTGGTTTGCATTAAATGTAAGAAGATTTGCTGTTGAATCGAGGTTTTTTGGGGTCGAATGTAAAAATTGAATGGATTTATTTCATTTTTATTGGTTTTATTATTGGTGTGGGACGTATTTCGTTACAATATTTTTATTTTTTTATCGCAGTAGAATATAATATTTTCTTTATTTCTTAAAGAACAGTTACTTTATCGTAAGGTATAAGCAGTTAATAGTTAGTACAAGACCTACACAGCCAAAAAAGACGTAATGAAAAGTATCTAGAGATTACGCCCGTGTGACACTAACAAATTGCTAAACCACAAATTTTAACTTAGTTTTAGGACTTGCGCAGTTAGGATGTGTACAAGTAGGTTCTTTGGTTTGCATAATAAGGTCTGATATGTTTTAACACTAGAGGTTTTCACAACATTTCACATGCGAACGTTTTTGGTACTTTTTATTATATCGACCACAAAATTAATGATCTTCGAATTATTATCATAAGCATTTTTAAATGGAATCAGTTTATTTTTGTTAATATAGTTAACCCTTTTCTTCATCGCCCTGCTGTTTAATTTTAATGCGATGCTACGCCGTAGAATGATCCTTCCCGTGCGCCGTAGCCTCTACGCCGTAGCGCTACGGCGTAGTATCTATGTAGCACTCTTTTTTTTTCGTTGCTAACTATATATTATTGTATCTTAATATTGTTAAAGTATATTATCATACCAGCTATAAGGCATCCACTGTTGAATATAGGCTTTACTCAATAACTTCTAGCGGCTTCTTGTAACCTTGATCAGGTCGTCTCTCCACCGTGTGTGTCTTGTGATGGTTAAAAAAAATGCAAATACTTTTACTGTCTTAATATCAAAGCCATGGAAGTCATGAAACATTACTCCTCTACGTACAACATAAAACTACGAAAACAAAGTTCCTTCGTTCTCCAAAAAATAAATCATAAATGCATAATTATTAAAGCTTTCCTCTGTCTCGAAAAAACTTAACATAATATCCCGCCTTTTATCCTCGAAGGGGTGCACATTATGGCACTTAATGCCACTGTATAATGTAACTCCCACTTTTTACTATTTATGTTATGTGTCCCATGTAATAGGGGGTAAGCCTTTTACCATATACCGGGCACAAATCCAAACTCCGTGCTTACTATAGATATTTTTTAAATACCCCAGTAATACTTTTCCCGACCCTGTAATTGAACCCAAGACACCAGGGGGCTTACTCTTGAATCCAATTCCGACCGATCGACATTGGTATTGTGAAATTTCGTACTCTTGAGTTGCAACACTAGCGCTCATTACAACCGTATTGCGCGGATATTGAATGAACTAAATGGTATTGAGTTTGGTTTTACATTCCGTACCCTGAATGCTGTTGCAACAGCTATGAAAGGGGTTGTATAGTTTTGACATTGAATAATTATTGTGATTTTATTGGATTGAAATTGTATTGACATTGACGTTGGTTTCAAGAGTAAGCACCCTTGTCCGGCAGTCGCACTTGCGACCACTAAGCCAAAGAGGTAGTGTCTCGAAAAAATCGTAAATAAAAACCCTATAACATAATCTCAGAACCCGACCACTTCACAACCCACCAAAAAATTAAACAATACACCAATACCAATTAAACATTCAATACAACACAATACAATACAATACAGAAGCATACGTTTATTAGACGAATGTCAGAAACAGTGTATATTTTAATCATCGCGTTTTGAGCACAGATAAATTGGATAATAAGCGCGGTAGGGGGCCCATAACGGGCGGTCCTGTGCCCCGTAGCCCCCCGTCATGGACAGACCCTGTCTCCGTTCATAGAGACTTGTGTTTTGATGTGCTATTGTTTCAAATAGGGATGTTTAAGGTAGAATTTGTATGAGTTTTGTTGGGAGTGACGTCGTTTTAAGTGAAATAGTGAAGGCTTTAGTAAGATAGTTTTGTATTGATTCTGTAAGTGGTTCTGTTTTGACGTCATAGTTCTGTAATACATGGTGTTGATACGGTAAATTGGTATAAACATTTAAAATAAATATCAATTAATAATTTGTTTCCTCTTCACGTATCAATTAATGGGAATATTAAGCCAAAATGCCACTATGAACTGTATAATTGGCTAGTTTACTAGGTTTAAAATAAATTGTTTCAACTTTTCAATGCAATAAATAATTAAAATATAATCATACTCTTACTGATTGATTTGACAATTTACCTACTTTTAGATTTTTCTCGCTAATTTTAAGGAAATAAGTATGCTATTTGACGCAGAAATATGATGTCCTCATAAGTTGCGATCCAATACAAAATTCATAGAAAAGTATCGTTTTTAACATTCCAATAAAAGTATTGAATTTGAAAAAAAAGTGTCAACTACCGTATTATCAATAGTAATATTGTGAAAAGAAAAGATTTTACTGTTTATTTGCATGAATAGTGTGTCGAAACTAATTCTTTTCTGTTCATTTCAGCAATCGATTCCAAGACCATAACCAAATGTACTGAGTATCAACGACAGGTGAGGTCAAGAGGCCAGCGTAGCACCTCACTTCTTTCAGAAGACCTCCTTTCTTATAAAATAATCATAAAAATCTCCTTTCTTTTCTTGAAGATTCAAATCTTCAAGAAAAGAAAGGAGGAGAAAAGAGCGTATTCCTTTTTAAAAGGCCGGCAACGCATCTGTGACTCCTCTGGTGTTGCGGGTGTCCATGTGCGACGCTGATCGCTTACCATCAGGTGATCTGTCAGCTCGTTTGCCTCTTATTCAATGAAAAAAACTGAATGACCATGGGGTAATTGTTATCCTGGGGACGAAACTGCTGGCAGAAAGTAGTATCTTAAACTGTCAAACACCGCGAGGACACCGGTGACCGCAACCTATTGTTCTTTAATTGTGTCTATAATGACGGTACTCAAAGGGTTAATCCACTACACAGCTACAAGATCCATATGTAAACAGAGTCCAAAACGGTGCATTACACCATGCACACTGCCCAATGTGCCCAAAGTGCTCAATGTGCCCAATGTGCATATAAACAGCAAGCAAACTGAACAACTGAACTGATGCAATTGCACATTCATTGTGTACATCACAAAGGGATTTGTCACAGTCCAGTTCAAATTACTCGCTTGTAATTCAACTGTCTATTAAATCTATTTGATTACATAGGTAGGCAGATATTATGGATAGGGTTTCACAATGTGCACGGATACATATCAAGCTATGATTAACCAGTTTAAAGTGACTGGTAAATATGAGCAAAGAAGTGACTTTAAAGTGACTGGTAAATAAGAGCATGATAAACTGGTTTTGTGTAACTTGGTGTGAATAGTGTCTACATTGGTATGCATAGGGTTTTAAACAAGGGTTGGTATGGCTGTATAAAGGTATGCTAAATTGTGAGTTATTGTTAAAGGTTAAGGTTGAAAATATTTTAAGTGTGGAAGAGCTATGCTTCGGCAAGAATGGGCCGGGTCGACCGGAGTGATATCACGGTCTCACAAAATACCGACGTGAAACAAAGCTTGCGCTGTGTTTTGTCGTGTGAGTGAGGTTGTCGGAGGCCCAATTACCACACCCCCTCTCCCCAGTCTTTTCAAGCCCCGAATCCTCCACAATCCTCAAATTCCCAATTCCCAAAAGGCCGATAATGCACTTGTAACTCCTTGGTGTTTCAGATGTGCATGGGTGACACCGATTGCTAACCATCAGGTGATGCGTCAGCTCGGATACCGGTTTATCCCATAAAACATTAACTTACACAAATACTCTTTATTTTATTGTCTCCAAAACTAAATTCAGACCATAAAAACATAAATTCGTCCCATTATGACCTGAAAGATGAACAAACGAACATAGAGAGGAATATTTTGATTTTGTGTTTACATTGAATAGACTCGGAAACTATTGGACCGAATTATAAAATAAGTACCTACTTACACTATTGGAGACGATAGGATTCACTTCAAATCTATGGTTTTTGACCAATATCTTTAATGGTGATAAACGAAAATGTGTCCTACGATGTGACACGCTTACCTATATGCACCCTATTCTTTTTTTATGGTTTTTTTTTTTTATTTATTTTTTTAGGGATGAAAATTGTCGAATTACTGCTCCCGCCTTAGTGTCGAGCCGGAGCCCCGGTAACCCGTTAGGTTCTCCGTGACTCCGAATCGGCATCAGCCCTATTAATTGGGCCCCATCCGTGGTGGTCTGATGGCTCTTGACGCGCGCGGAACGCGTTCCGCGAAAAAACCCGAGCGTATGGCGCGTCGCGACGCGCCATACGCTCGGGTTTTTTATGGAATAGGATGCAAACGAGCAGACGGATTACCTGGTGATAAATGATCAGCGCCGCCTATGGACACCCGCAACACCAGAGGAGTCACAGGTGCGTTGCCGGTATTCATTGACTCAAAAACATAGACTCTGGCAAGAAATCAAAACATTGAACCTATCTACCTTTTTAGTGGGTGGAAAATTATGATTTCCTTAAAAAACGTTGTCCTCTCATACAATCATAGGTGCATTCACACCACAGTCAGAGCCGAAACGGCAATCTATAGATTACATTTAGACAAGAAACTCAGCAGTCGCTTCCTTGTCTCTCAGCCACTGCATCATCAGTCGTAGGTACATCGGGTGACTTAAAAGCCACCCCGTTTCATCTTATGCTCCGTGCAGAAAATCTCTAAGATATTTACTTATGAAGCGACCTACCCCCCCATCGTCACAAGAATCCAATTAAATAAAAAAACTTAAAATACTTATTTATTTCAATGCAGCTTTTTCTTTGAATATAATTGATTCATGAAAATGTGCTGACCTTACATTATACCAATAAATTAATTTCTTTTCATCATAATAGTTTTCATCAGACTAACAACGCCATCTATTGTTGACGGAATAAGAATATAAAAATGTGTAACAGCGCCATCTATCAGTACTAATAGAAGAAGGTTCACGTCTTGTTTTGATACATAGTTCACATACTCAAATGTAGATGACACTGATGCATGTAAAAATGTTCATTCATAATAAATTATTAATAATTACTATTACAGATTTCTCAAAAACAATCTAATTACTAATAGTTCTTTTATAAATAATCGTAATTTATTACATTTCATTTATTAAAACTAAAACACTTCAAATCAAGGTTTTTACAGAGAGTGTTGCCATACGTTTTTTCCATATGCTACAAAAACAGCGACAAATAAATATTAATTACTAATGTAATAAAATAGTTTTAACAGTAAAGTGAACATAAAAATGCTAAAAACAATACATACATTTTTAACTTTGTAAAATTAATCATGTCTTGAATGGTTTTGAACATAAAAATACTTTAGCTTCACAGAGATGGCTTGTTTATAGGTAATAAAAAAAATAAAAAAGTCGCCAAAATTGTTTGAAAGGGCGGGAAATTTATAAAATAAAAATAATTGATCCAAGGATTAAATATAATTATAACACAAAAGTGACCATTTACCATGTAAGTTTCATAACAAAGATATTTTTTAACTTAGTATTTGACAAAACAAACATTATTTTCCGACAAAATTGTCGCTTCGTGACAGCAACACCGTTGCGAGTAAGCACGTATAATTTTATACACATGTAGGTCAATGGAAAAAATGGCTTAGCACCGAAGTAAGCTCATATGTATCGTGGCAAGAAATAATTTTATAATTTAAATGGCCTTCAGTGATTTATGTCACTTAAGTAATGCGTACAAAACCGTCGAAAATGAAACAGATCAGGTAAGTGAGTGTTTTTGTATAGTGCCATTTTTCAATGGGTGTTGTAAATGTCTTGGACTGTCAATCTGACCCGAAATCCGGGTGATATTACACGAATTATTTGTTGGAAGTGCATTATTTTACATATGTGGACTATTACAAGTGCTAAACATGGTTCTAGTGAACGTTTGTTGTGATATTTTTCAGTGCCGTGTTCCGATATTTTTTTGACATAGTGTAGGTACCTAATGACATCGGGGAATGCACATAATATTTTTAGAATTATGTAGTTTGTACGTTAGAGGACAAAATAACAAGGTAACATATTATAAATATACTGTTTTAATGTGTGTGACGACATTTAAATGTTATGAAATACTGCAGTTTTGGGTGTTTCTTACATGGACAAATTGTAACACCTACCCACTTTCTATATTCGTTACTTGAGACAAAGTATACAAATACGGTTATATTGGTTGTGTGTGGCCACATCACAAGTGTAACATGCTAAACATCTTGTAAACTGAATAAAAGACCTTGTATGATAAAAACTGTAATTATAGAAATCAAATAACAGTGTCAGATTCCAGTAAGACAACAATTGGAATGTCCTTGATGTAACTATTCATAAATAAGAACGTTTATTTATTAATATAAGCGAGTATTGGTTTCATAAATTCAGTATTTTTTGTTTTATTTGCATTGATCTTTGACCTGTTTAGTCAAGTCATCAAGATTTATTATGATAAACATAAAATTGTATCACAATGTACAATTATGTGTTGATAGACATATTGTTTATCTTAAATATTAAATTTATTCAATATTTAATATATTCTATGAGCCTCCACTTTTTCTGCAAAGCTGGAATGCATTAGTTATACAAATTGTGGAACAAGAAATAGTTTTGAAAGCATATGCTAAATTATTTCTTTAACAGTTAATTTGTGAAACTAGACTTGATCAATTTTCTAGTTAAAATTTTACTAGTCAATTTCAATTTAATGTTACATTACACCCAGTCCCCCACTATTCACAAGATATGTTACAGTATGGACCACTTTTTAATTAACTTATACACATTTGATCAGATTGTGAAATCCATGAAAGTATCCGCTTGGAATTTATGACTTTACAAGAAACAGTAATTCACACTAACACTACCCTGCTAGCCACCATCAACAACTAACTATAAGAGGGCTTGGGGACCTCCAAAAAACCCTGTTCCAGACTCCATATTGTAAAACCTTGGACTAGTAAAGGCTCCCTAGGCAGTCAGTGTAGACTGCATGGTTGGCATGGTGGCTGGGCAACCGGATGCCATGCAACATGATGCAGGTCCCATTCCCACACGGAACAACTCTTTGTGTGATCCACAGATTTTTTTTCGGGTCTGGGTGTTATTGTGTATGTGAACTTGTGTTTGTAAATGCACCCACGATACAGAAGCAAATCCTAGTGTGGGGCAACGATTAAAAAAGAAATCCTAAGCTCTAAATCAAGCTGCTAACTACCATACAATATGTTTGAAATCCAAATTTCTATTATCAAATGTCCATAATGAACAAGGTACCCCTTAATGTGTGAACCTGTAACTTGTGTTCTTTGGGAAAGAAGATATGACTAACTAACATAATATTTAGCCATTACATGGGACTTGTAACATAACTATCAGAATTAAGATTATTTACATTTACATTTATGAATATATCCTAGCTTTATTGTCAGACAGAGTGATGGACAATTCAGTTTTGATGTTTCAAAACTGCTTAATAAAGGATTAAGTAATTAAAATTAAAGAATTCTTTGACTTTGAAAGGTATTACATGGGACTCATAACATAAATAGTGAAAAGTGGGTGTTACATTGTACAGTGACATAATGTGCACCTCTGTCTATCCCTTCGGGGATGAAAGGCGCGATATTATGTCTGTGAAAGGTTCAGGTTTATCAGACCACTATTGCCCAGGGTCTATCAAATGTAGGATAGTTGTTCGGTCATTTCTGATGACACACTTAGAAAGAATAGAATATATACTCTGCTGTAGTAACAGCTGCTTGATTAATGGTTTGACTTAGTAGCTGAAGCATTACTTAGCTAACTCTTCAGGAAACTAAATGCTCAAAATTATTATGTTTTTGTGTATTGATATCTATCCAATATTAAGTTATCAATGTTATTATGCAGCAATAAACAATATTTCATTGCAATCTAAATTGTTATTTGCCCATTAAAATATACAATCTTATCAGATAAAACTAATTCATATGAAATCAAATTTACATTGTATATGAATGATGTCACCACATTGTTTATTTACTTTGGTTTTAGCTTATGTTAATAGATCTACGTAAGATTGTTAAAGGGTTATATTCGGATTCATTTATTTTTGTTCGATTGAGTCTGTCACGTAACAGATTTTTGTAAATATTATGTATACCTAAATGTACATATTTGTAAGTCTGTTTCGCTATTGAATATTATTGCCTTGATTATTATTGTTAGGATTCTCCAATCATCCTTCTTAAGCCAATTCTATTCTATTTCATACTCTAACAGATCCATTACATTAGTTTACTGTTTACAATCTGTTCTGTTTACGTTTAAACATTAATGTTTTTTCTTGAAAACTTCTTGCTTTTCAATTCTAATAAGTTGTATTAATTAAACACCGTTTCCAAGTAGAAATATGTGGCTGTCTTTTCTTAGAATTAATTCATGTAACTATACCTCTATAGAATATTAATCTTGTACATAGTAGATAGTTATTAAAATCTTATTAACTACAAGAATACTGAGTGGGTTTGTTCCTAGTATAAAAGTCATAGACTTGCATTTTACTACTTGAGACTAATAAAAGTAGGATTTGAGCTTTTAATAACCCCACACACAGCAAAACACACATTTTTTTAAACATTAGGATTTTATATTTTGCCTTTACAAACACACATAACATAACATAACATCACGCCTTTTATCCTCGAAGGGGTAGGCAGAGGTGCACATTACACCACTGTACAATGTAACACCCACTTTTCACTATTTATGTTATGAGTCCCATGTAATAGGGGGTGAGCCTATTGCCATATACCGGGCACAGTTCCAGACTCCGTGCTACTACTGAGATTTTTTTTAAAACCCAGTAATACTTTGCTCGACCCGGGAATCGAACCCGAGACCCCTTACCCGGCAGTCGCAATTGCGACCACTAGGCCAACGAGGCAGTCAACAGTCAACAAACACACAATTTCACTTAAATATATAACACCCAGTCTTGAAACAACAATTTGTGGATTACACAAAGTACTCCGTGTGGGAATTGATCCTGCAGGCTACAGCTTGGCCAGCCGCCGCGTCAATTGTGCAGTCAAATGCGTGTTCATGTCAATTCTTTTCTCTGAGGCTGTGATATCAGTCCGGTCCACCTGGTCCATTCATGCCGAGCATCGCTCACCGGCGCAATCTTACGTGTATAGACTTACTGACTGCCTAACTACTTACTGAGTCAGTCAGTAAGTTTAACTTAATGTGCTGCCATATCTATAACTACTTTCTTCATAGAATACAAATGACTTTTTTTAAGGGGGGAAAGTCATTGAATGACTTCTCCCGCCTGGGTGAGGCGGAAGGGAGTGTCAGACTCTTATTGGCTAAAAACCACCCCGTTCCTACTCCTTCACTTCGAGCCGGATCCCCGTTAACTCGTTATGTTCTCCGCTGCTCCATATCGGCATCAGCCCTATTGGACCCCATCCGTGGTGGTCTGATAGCTCTTTGAGGCTCGTACAGAACGCGACGCGCCGTACGCTCCGGTCTGGTTCTTGTGTGGCGGCGAGACACCCATGCTTGCCGTCCGCAGGCCCGCGCTTACGGTTATCGGAGATCGTATAAAAATGACCTTAAGATGTCGAGTCTGGTCATACAGCACTTATGTTTGTTGGAACCAATCACTTTCAGCAATTTGTAAGATTGCTTAGAATGTCTCTGGGTAATTTGTTAGCCACTTAGTTGCCATCTATTTTGTCATTTGAGAACATAAAACTTAATGTTATGACTTTTATTCATGTATGGAAGTTTTGTTACTGACTGCCTTATTGGCCGAGTGGTCGCAAGTGCGACTGCTGGGCAAGGGGTCTTGGATTGTTTTCCCAGGTCGGGTAAAGTATAACTGGGTTTTTAATAAAAATCTCAGTAGTAGCACGGAGTCTTGAAATATGCCCGGTATATGAAAATAGGCTCACCAACTATTACATGGGACTCATAACATAAATAGTGAAAAGTGAGTGTTACATTGTACAGTGGCATTAAGTGCCGTAATGTACTCCTCAGCCTAGCCCAATTGATGGCTAAAACAAGTTAAGTTGTCGTAGAAAACTGAAATTGTGTAGATTTCTTTAAAACTAAATTTCTAAGAGAACACAAAGATTCTTCCCGAATTTATTTCCAGATATGGTTCTAGGTGTGGCATTGGTACACACGGCCACACATCAATCTATACAAAACCAGTTTATCCTGGTGTCGCGTCGCATCATCTTTCCGCACATTTAACGTTCAGGTTAAACTGGTTATGTAAAGCTTGATGTGTAGCCGTGTGTACATCTACCCTTATTGGTTTTAACATTTTCTGTTGCCTTCTCTGTACAGATATCTACTAGCTCAGAAATGTTCCCTAAACTTAAATTATTCTATTTTAAATGTGGGAGAGTCATGCTTCGGTACGAATGGGCCGGCTCGACCGGAGTGATACCACGGCCTCACAGAAAACCGACGTGAAGCAACGCTTGCGTTGTGTTTCGTCATGTGAGTGAGGTCGGTTACCGGAGGCTCAATTACCCACCCCTTCCCCAATCTCCCCAATACCTGAATCCTCAACGATTCTCAAACTCCTAATCCCCAAAAGGCCGGTAACGCACTTGTAACGCCTCTGGTGTTCTAGGTGTCCATGGGTGACGCCAATTGCTTACCATCAGGGGATCTGTCTGCTTGTTTACCGGCTTATGCCATAAAAAAAATCTCCCAAAACTGTAAAGTTGAAAATAGTCTGCTTGAAATAACTTGACCTGCTGGCTGTAAACAATTATTTTAATAGAATTAATGGATTGATCTTGTTACGAAGTTTGTATCACAAACTTTATTGCATGCTAAATAAAGTGCCCACTAGTAGTTATCCTGGTCATATGACACACTTAATTTAATTTGACCAATGTCAGTCTTACTTTGTTGGTAGACGACCTTTATGATACTTTGTAAATAGAGTAGAGAATGTATTTTTACTATGTTAAAGTTAGGGTTGGTTAATGTGTTTCTCATCGAGGCTATCTAAAATAGAATCCTACGAGGTTTTTCTATTTTAGACCTCGTTGGTCGGCCTTTATAGTCGTAAGAAGTATCAATTTATTTATTTCAATTAAATAGTATAACATTACAGTCATTAAAGCTCTTTTTTAGTCATCTTTAACAAGTCGTTTTTTTTTTTCGAGGGGGGATAATCATTCAATGGGTTCTCCCGCCCGAGTGAGGCGAGAGGGAGTGTCAGACTCTTAGTGATTAAAAACCACCCTGTTCCTACTCCTGCCCTTCGACATCTAATGCGTTCTCCCGCCCGGGTGAAGCGAGAGGGAGTGTCAGACTCTTATTGACTAAAAACCACCTCGTTCCTACTCCTGCCCTTCGAGCCGGTGCCCCGGTAACCCGTTAAGTCCTCCGCGTCTCCACCTATAACTGGTCGTAGAAGTTATATTTTCTTTGGTTGTAACTGCGCGACTGTGACTTCCCAGTCGGTTTCGGAGTAGGGTCGAGTATTTTTTTTGTATTATGAAGATTAATTAATTCTTAAATAAAAGGATTTATTTATGAAATCGCCACTGCTCTTTGGTATCACTATTTCCCTATATGACAATGTCAAAGGTATCGTAGGTAGTGCCCTCCCTTCTTCTAAACCTCCATATCCATCAAAAAACAAACTCCACACTAACCACATCAAACAAACCTTGTATATTTAACAAAGCCTTCAAAAATAAAACTCATAGAGAATCTCCTTCAAAGTCTTGGAAGTATAAATTCATTCAACGGTCGGATAGCGACCAATTTCCAAGTACACACAACCAGTATAAACTGACCGTTGAATATACGGAGAGATCAATAAAGTGGGACCATGAAAAATTGGTTCTGTATACCTTGATCTGTAGCTACATCCAATGTGACGGAGCGGGCCGGGAACTAGGTCAATGCAAAAATTTTATCCCGATCCTGTTATGAAAGTTTTCAAGCTTCGCTGCTGAGGTACCTACGTTGGAGACTTGGGGTTTATTCTTATGTAATTACTTTTATTTTTACCCCTGTTAAGGGTTTTCTTTAAAGGGTTGTTGGTTGTGTAAGTTTAATTGCTGAGAACAAGATGAAATGACATTTATTTCTGTAAATAGACGCGGGTCCTGATGCATTAGTACGAGTAATTTACGTTTAAAGTATTCGAAACGAGTACGTTTTCGGCGCTCTGATTGGTCGGTTCATTAAAGTTATATGATTTACTATTGGGGTTTTCGGATTTCAAATGCTATTGCGTTTGTTGTTGCGGTCTAGAATTTATCTGGTAATTCGTTATTTAGTTACCTACAAGAGTCCACCGGGTTTAAGTTTAAGTCCTCTATCCAATGAAGATTCGAAAGGTCGTGGGGCTTATACAGTTCAACCCCTCAAGGGTCTTCCCTGAGGGGTTAAACTAAGTCTGTCCTTTGATATAGTATTTTTATTTAAATTGTAATGAAACTGTATATGAATCTGTTATTTTGATTGGCAACGTAACTGTGAAATCACCACTGTGTCTGAACTCCTGTTTCACCTGTTTGTACATAATTAATTATAATTTAATCTTCTCTTTCTTTGCAGTCGGAACGCATTATGGAAGAAAATACGATCGTCCGTGATCTCATCACAAAAATTCTCGATGAGACCGGACCATCAGAAGGGTGCAGGTGAGTTTTATTCAATACGATACCTTATTACCTAAGTATGAAGTAGATCTAAACTGTATTTCTATGACCTGTATAAGATATTGCTTCATTTATAGATTCTTGTATTTGAATTTCATAACCCTCTTTCTAACATTTGTTTGGCGAAAATTTTAATTTCAATGCGAACGAAGTCACGTGCAGAATTGTGTTTAAAATTCGAGGAGGTACCTACTTGATTTCAATTATTATTTAACCACAAAATCATAAAAATCACGCGACGACTGCACGGAAGCGACCTCAAAATGTTGAAATTTACTAAATCTACTGTCACCACTAATCCTTAGTGTTCAATTAAGGATTAATAAATGCTGCTCATCTATTAATTCCTAATCGAACACTTTTTTATGATATAAGCCGGTAAACGAACAGACGGAGCACCTGATGATAAGCAATCGGTGTCGGCCATAGACACTCGGAACACCAGAGGCGTTCCAAGTGCGTTACCGGCCTTTTGGGGTTACGAATTTGAGGATTGTTGAAGCTAGGTGCTCGTCCCATTTCCCAACCAAACTTTGATCTTCAAATCTCCTGATAACTGCACAAATTATAACATACTCTCTTATTTAGAAGAGGCTCATAGTTCAGGAGTAAACTGTCAAAATTAAAATAAAAAAAATGTTTTAGAAATAACTAAAAGATATTTGTTGGACACAAATTTTGTGTCCAACAAATATCTTTTAGCATGCCCAATATCAATCTCTGTAGTTCACGTTTCAAGATATTATATTTCAATATAAGTACGCCTATAATACTCATCATGATGATCATCAGCCCGTATTCGTCCACTGCTAGACATAGGCCTCTCCAATGGCACGCCACTGAGCTCGGTCTTCAGCTCTTCTAATCCAACCACTGCCAGCCACCTTTCGGATGTCGTCACTCCACCTTGCTGGAGGGCGCCCTACACTACTTTTGCCAAGACGCGCTCTCCACTGTAAAACACGTTTCCCCAATGGTTATCGGTTCTTCGACAAATGTGACCGGCCTATGGCCACTTGAGCTTACTGATCCTTTGGGCTATGTCGATAACTTTGGTTCTCTGTCGGATCACTTCGTTTCGGATTCGATCCTTCAAAGACTCCGAGCATAGTCATCTCCATAGCTCGCTGCGCGACCTTAAATTGGTGGACCAGTCGCACTGTCAGTCTCCACGTCTCGACTCCGTATGTCATTACTGGAAGGACGCACTCGTATAATACTCTACAGTATCAAGAAGCATTCAATGCAATGGAATCCTTTATAGCCTTGAATTCTCGTATAAAAGGATCTAGCGATGCCTGATGCTTCAATTCAATTTGATATGAACGGAAACGCCCTGTTATCGTACTACAAAGAAATTGATCTCGCTATTGCAAGTGCATAAACTGTATTGCACAACCAATTTAGCGTAGTATTTGAGTGAACCTGTGTTTTGAAGTCGCTTTATTGTATTGCAATATTTTATAATGTCTTCTTATATTGTGTTATTTGGGTCCTATTTTGGTTCTATTGGACTAATGTCACCCAAAGTCAAAGGTCACGTGTGTGTATAATGCTTAAAATGTTTTATCTTTTACCCGCCCCGGCTTTGCACGGCTGCAATATGCCTGTATTCACTCGATCTATTAAAAAAACCCGTATCAAAATCCGTTGCGTAGTTTTAAAGATCTAAGCATACATATAGCGACTTTGTTTTATACCATGTAGTTATTTTAATGCCATTCTTAGGACGGAATACTTTATCTGACGTTATGGTCCTCAAAATTGAATCGATCCCAAATATTCATATCCTTAAGTTAACCATACTATTTGTTTAGTGGATAAGATAATTTTACGGGGCTTGGGCCTTTCAAACAGTTCATACCATTGGAAGGAATGATTCTTTGAAAAGGAATAAATGTATAGTTTATAAAAGCTACTGATCACTAAAATGTTCGCTCGTCGAGTCATAAGGTGCACCCACAGTAGTTACATTAACTGTTGTCAAAAAAATCCTAAAGCATTTACGCAATTTTGAGCTGAGTCAGCCAAAACACGAGACAGCATTTCACTAAATCAGCTTCAAAATATAAAAACAATTTAAAGAATGCTCACTGAACTCATAAATAAAACAATGCCAAATCATTGACGTAATACTCTTTTTTAAGAACGACATTTTAAGGGCGCTGTGACCTCCAGTTATCTTGTCTTTTTATCAGACATCAAATTAGGCATAACAATATGACGTGTAAAATGCTGCATCGTGCTTGTAATGGAGACTGGGGTATCGTATCTTTGAGTTAAATACTTAAAGTAAATATATGTTTGGTTTTTATGATCTTTCAAGTTTTATTGCGTCTTTGGTCGAATAATCACAAGCTTGGCAGCGGAGCAAGGAGTTATAGGGTCTCTGTTGAAGAATTTCCATAATTCTTTGTGCTAGCTTGAATTGGGCATGTACTGGACCCGATGTATGGCAACAGGCTCGTTCTTTATTACACAAGACTCATAAAATTAACGAACGAAAAATAGTTGTTACACAATTTTACATTCACATTTTTTACCCTTTCGGTTCCCCGAAAGGGTAAAAAATGTGACCAGGAAACCAGGTAAAAGATGTGTGTGAGGCCTTTAATTCCTTAAAGGCCTGGATTTAACTTATTTATTACTTTTTAAACAATCGCTCAGGTTATACGTCAAAATCTTGCATGTTAAACCGTCTTCTTGGACGTGTTACCAATTACGTTACGGTCAGCACTAAGCCATAATCAGATTGGGTGTTGATTGAGCTTCGGAATTCGAAATTAACATGAAAGGAATATATTATGCCATCTATGCCACAATGCTTGAGTAACCAACAGATCGGACATCGTGTGCTTGAGGTTTTTCTCTTTTCGCCTTTAAGGTGGTATCCCGTAGTCAGGAAATTCGTTGGTGTTTTGAAAAGCACCACAAGTCATTGGTTCTGCGACTGATTTTTCTCAGATTGTGACAGATTTTTCTCCTAGGTCGTGATCCAGCCGCTGTAGCCAAATGCCATTTAGCGCTTGTCTACATGTAGAGTAGGAAACTAAATTATATGGAATTGACGTAAATTTTGACACTTGTCAGTGTCATCCCCATACATTTTGATTTCTACTCTCTCTGTAGACAAGCGCTAAAGTGGCGTTTGGCTAAAGGCACAGGATAGTCAGGGAACAAAGAGTACACATACTTATGCACTATAATATCTCCTAGGTTGTCGACTAATCTCTTGTATGATTGATTATCTAACTTGGTTAGAACACGTAGGATATCATTATTAGACTTAAGAGCTTCTGACTATCTAAACTTTAAAACAGTGTTTCAATTTCAAATTTCAACACGACAATAATGATTTTATGCGCGTATACACAACACTGCTACCACGTAAATATGCATAATATTATTCATTTCAAATGTGCATTTGTCTTTAAATGTTCATAATATTAATTTACCAGTCTTCTGTGAGATACGCATTTTACTATAACTATAATAGAGTTCTGTTAATAAAATGTAACCAGAAAAATATATTGATTGGGGGTTCTTGGAGTGACAAACATATCCTAATATCACTACATCTACTAATCAAAAGTAGCTAGTACAGTAGAACAGTTACTTGAATGCCTTAGGGGCGATTTTTCCAACGCCAGTTATATTTTATCACAGGAATAACTTCTTAGACAATTCTTCTAGGTATAATAAACACTGCAATTTCAGTTTTATTCTACAGTTAAGAATTATCTATTGATTGAAAAATCGGCTCTTTGTAATTATAGTTCAATCATATTTTTTGTTGTGCCTATCACACCCAGAACCGAGATCCGGAACTGCCATCTACATTTCTAACCTCTACAAATACTTTTTCCAAACAGAAATTGAACTCTTACAACATTACTATATTTACGTACAACCTTGACTTTAGCCTCACCCAAGGTGCAGTGCAATTAATAGACATTCGTGACTTGTTAAAGTATCAAAATTGCTGTATTTATTTCACCGACACGCATTCAACAAGTTTTTCATGTTAAAAGAAAAACGAAGTTAAGTTTTAATCTTGTCGATGTATCAAGTAATTTCTCGTGTAGAACAATAATTGAGGTAGTTTTGTGACTTGTAACAATTTGGTTAAAGACATAATAGAGTTGGGGTGCAATAATGTTGTTTTACTAACAATTGTTTTTGTTACCGACCAATAAACAAATTTACTTATTTTCTTCAAGTTTTGCTCGTGACTTCGTTCGCATCGTAAATTTTTTGTTAATTAAACCTCAAATTCTCCAAATACAAACATGTTTTAGTAATTATAATTATGGACTTTACCTTCAATGTGCTTAATATTTGCTTTTAATTCTTTCAGCCCTACACAACCACCGGAAAAACCAGTAAACAGTATACAACCGAGCCCTCAATATCCTAAAAATGAGGGCAACTCATTCATACCACCGTCATACAACTCATACCAGAACAACCAGCTATTCAACTTCAACCAATCCGACCAAAACGGATTCAACTTCAACCTGCAAAACGGTTTCGGTAACAATAACGGTTTTGTCAACTACGATAATGACGTGAGTGCGTTACTCGGGATTGATCCCGTTGCAGATGCGTCGACCGAAACCGTGACACCAGAACAATTAAACCTTCTAAGGTTAGCCGCACAAGAAATTGGCGGTGCACAGTTCTCAACACCGAACGAGAAATTCAACAACTACAATTTCTTCGAACCGAACCAAAGAAACTCTTTGCCTGAAGCCAATATGTTCTCAGTGAACAACTTCAGCCGACCAAACAGTTTAAATCTTGATATGAACTTCAATTCCAACTTCGAAGCCCCATTTAATAACACACAGAGGTTTCCTAATAATTTCATGAAAGACCAGAATCAGGAGACGGAAATATTGACGTATTTGAATCAATTGAACATGTCTTCGGACAGGCCTCGGGACGAAAATGGAATTAACAATGTGGATTTGAGGATGCAAATGGATTTAAATGGTCACTTTCCAAATGAGGACTTCAGGCAAGAGGACCGAAACAAAATGTTCTGCAATAGAAACTTCCAGCAGATGCCGCCAAACAGGAATTTTGGGGAGAATAATTTCTACGACATGATGGCTCAGATGAACGATAGGAGTCCTATGGGTCAGAACTTTGATTTTTCGAACCAATCGACGCCAGTGTCGGCAGCTAACTCGATGAATTTCAACCGACCGAATGGGTTTAACCAGAACGATATGATGCAGAGACGTGATATGAATCCCATGATGCCAAGGGACAATTTCCAGGGGAATGGCAATATGAATGAGAGGAACAACTTCGAGAATATGGGTCGTGAGAATATGCAGCAGGCAGCTATGATGAGACAGAACCAGGAGTTGGCTCGTCAAATGAGCATTTTAATGCGCAATAGACCACCTCCCAGTCAGTTGAATGTTGATGTGTCGTTTTTGCACGAGAATAACCCCTTTAACCTTGGTAAGTTCTTAAGACTTATTCTTTTTAAACATTCAGAATTTGTTTATTCAAATTAGGATTCTTTTATTTTGATTTCAATGGTATAGTGTTACTGTAGAAGCCAAGATTGGCTAGCTATGCACAAGTCACACTTGAATTGAATTATAATTGAAATTGTTATTGATTTGTCATAAGTACTAAAATATTAGATTGGTCGGAAGAAGTCATTGGATTGGATTTTCGCACGTCAAAAAATAAAAAAGGATTCAATTAGATTACCCCTGTATCGAATTAAAATAAAATCATTATAGAGTAAGAGTATTTTACAAGGTATGCATTTAGAATAGCTGTCTTGAAAAAGGGTGCTTTTGACAACTGGACTCTGTTAAGCATAAAAGATCCAGCCCACATTTTATTACTTTTGAGTAAATGAAGTCTAATGTTGGGCTGATAATAAAAAGAAATCATATGTCATCATCGTATCCCAGGATCACTTTTAACTTAATTTACTCAAAAGTAATGAAATGTGGGCTGGACCTTTCTGCTTAACAGGGTCCACTGACTGTTCCGCATCGTGTTGCGATTCCGATTTTTGCACGGAACAACTCTTTGTGTGATCTACAAATTGGTGCTTCGAGTTTGTGAACGTACCCACAACATAGGATGGAGCCGTGAAAGACTTAACGGGTTGTGGGGGCTCCGGCTCGAACGGTAGGAGTATGAACGGGGTGGTTTTTAGTCAGTAAGAGTCTGACACTCCTTTCCACCTCACCCAGGCGGGAGCAGCCATTCGATGATTTCCCCTTGTAAAAAAAACCCACAACACAGGAGAAAATCCTCGTAGTTATATGGATAACTAAGGAGTCTCTGAAGGAAATATTTTTAGCACAAAGATACAGTAAATGTTTATTTCATAATTCAGCTGAAAATGATTGACTATTCAATTACTGGCCTTGATTTAAACTTTTGTTATTCATGTAATTCACGGAGCGAGTCACAATGAAGTTGTTCGCGTTACTCGTACTAGTTATAGTTCGTGCGGTTCAAGGTAAAAAATATGGGCTGCTATACCATTGAATACATTGTACACGGTTTTTTATTGAATTTCATGGAAAAAAGGACCTATGTATTTAACTAAAGTATCTATCTAAACTCTTTGAATAATTAAAAATTAACATGTAAATATCAAGTTAATATAAAGAGGCCCGCAGATTTAAGACGGGCTTCTCATGCATCCTCATGCATGCGGTTTCGAAACCTACAAACAAAAAGTACCTATGTGACCTTTTCCGAGTTTTATGTACTTTCTACCACTGACAAACGGAGACGGAAAACGTCGTAAGGAAACCAAAGTTTATAGTTTAAAATTGCTAACCCGTATTGAGCAAGCGTGGTGATTAAAGCTCAAACCTTCTTCGTGTGATAAGGGGCCTTTGGTTAGCAGTGGCCACTTATAGGCTGTTGATGTCGTTGATGTAACATGTTAATATGTAGTGTTTTGAATTGGATAGTGTCTAACATAAATAGAACAAATTCCATCCACTTTTGTGTAGGTACTGTACACTTGATATAGCAGTTTTTAACTAGCTTGTTTACTTAACTGTTACTATTTAATTTAACACTTTGTGTGATTCACAAATTGTTGTTTAGGGTCTGGGTGTCATTGTGTATGTGAACTTGTGTGTTTGTAAACGCACCCACGACACAGGAGAAACACCTAATGTGGGGCAAAGTTAAAAAAATAGGTACTCAATTTCAAAACTAAATTATATTTCTGTCACAACAAATTCTTTGTAAAACGACAGAGATGGCACGATATTTAAGTGCTACATAAAACACTGAGCCTTTCAGTATTCGGGCGTTAATGTTGTAGTTATTCCACTGTGGTCACCGGTGACCACAACCTATTGTTCTATAATTGTGTCTATAATGACGGTACTCGACGAGTTAATGACTTAAATCATTTTCTTGATGTCTAAATATAAAAGTGTCTCATTCGTAGGTCCTATTTCGGCATGTACATTCGTGTTTATTATCTTCTTCTCTAAATGTTTCAGGTCTAGGCGCCCTATTAGGCCCCAGTCCACCGGTCCCACCGCCAGTGTTGCCATCGCCGATGCTAGATCTACCTCTATTGGCACCCTTCTACGCAATGAGGAATATGAGGTAAGCAAGTAAATTAGAAACCATAGTTTCGTACATTTTTCTCAACCCTTGCTCTTCCTGGTGTTGTAACTGCCGAGTAATGGATTACTAATATTATAAATTGGAAAGTGAGTTTGTTTGTTTGTTTCATTTTAACTCCGTAACTACTAAACCGATTGCTTTGAATTTTGCAGTCCGGATTAAATAATAGGGTACTTTTTATCCCGGAAAAATTTGATATTCCCGAGGGAAAACAAAAGTATTATTATAGATGGCGCTGTGTGTATATGTCACATTGCCTTTTTTTATCCTTTTGTGACGCGAGCGAAGCCGCGGGTAAAAGTCTATTATATAAAAATAAGTCGGGTTTTCCTTCCTGACGCTATAACTCCAGAACGCACGAACCGATTTCCACGGTTTTGCATTTGTTGGAAAGGTCTCGAGCTCCGTGAGGTATACCAAATAATGTTACATAAAACGAAGCCATCTGGTGGCGAAACGGAGTTCGCCGGGTTTGCTAGTTGATTATATATTTGAAAGACTGTAGATGACCTTTCTCTCTCTCCCTTAAATCAGGTACTATTTAACTGTGATCCGAAGCACCCCTGTTTGTTTGTGGGGCAACGTTGGAAAAATAAACTTTGCAAAAGGGCCCCGAATAATGAGGTAGTTTCCTAAATTTTATTTTAATGTCCGTCTGCTACATTTATTTAAAACTTTAATCATGTATTTTTCTTTTCTCACCAAATTGAAATATCGTGTGATGTCACAGCGTGCCACATTTTGTACCACGTTATGACGTAACGACCTCCCACTCTTAAACTTAGCGCCATTTTATCTAAGTATTGCAACTTAATACGGAAAAATAAAAAATACGTGTCTAATATTTTTTTCATTTTGTAACTAACGGACTTATTAGATTTTTAATTTGGAAACTACCCAATTATGTGTGCCCAAAGACCCCAGCGTAGTTTTAGACGGCCCTGGCTGTACTTACCACAATGAACCTTCGTTATCAGTATATTGGCACTAAGTTAACATTATGTATTCTACTGTTCAACATTGACTGCAGAAGTTTACGGCCTAACGAACAGATATCGTAAACTTGTTTAGCACTGATTTTTTCTTGATTTAAATAAGATAATTTGAAAACACATCCATATGTTCCTTAAGGATGTTGAAAAAGGTCGTAATAAATGTTCCTTGTTCTTACAATCGTAAATAGATTTTGATGATTGTCTGACCAATCCCCAAGCGGTCACCGGTGACCGCTTTCCACTAACTCCATTATAGTCCTTATTTCCAATGTTTAGAGACTACTTTTGTACGAACAAATTGGGGATTTATATCAGACTAGCTACTTCCGCACGGTTTCACACGCTCTGGTCAGCTCCTATTGGTCGTAGCGTGATGTCTTATAGCCTATAGCCATCCTCGATAAATACGCTATCCAACACAAAAAGAATTATTCAAATCAGACTTGTAGTTACGGAGATTAGCGCGTTCAAACAAAAAACAAACTCTTCAGCTTTATATAATAGTATAAAAGATGATTGTGTACGAATTAAAGAAAAAAATTTTCCTCCGCAGAAGCGCAGCAACATCCTCAGGCATCCTCCATGCTCGTCTAGACGCTTGCTACGAACAATGGCGTCAACTTGAACGGGAACGTAAGCGTACTGAAGCAAGGCTGGCCCTGGCATACCCTGGTAGGGCTGTGTCCTCGTCCAACTCAATACCAGTGCCACGACTGCCACCCTGCCCCACCAGGGTAGATCGACTCACTGTTGATATGCTCAGGGAGCATACTAAGGTAAAATAAATATAACATATTGCTATTCTTTTATAATAACTATCGTGAGACATACTAAATGAAGAAAAATCGCGGGTTACTCACTTGAATATACTGAGAAAAGCTCGACTAGTATCGAACCACAGAGGGGTTCTTCGTCATGGGCAGCGTGTGCGGTCGCGGCGACGTCGTCGCTTTTCTCAGTATATTCACGTGAGTAATCCGCGATTTCAGTTAAGTTGCAATACTTAGATAAAATGTTGCTAAATTTAAGAGTGGGAGGTTGTTACGTCATAACGTGCTACAAAATGTGGCACGCTGTGACGTCACACGATATATTGTCGAAAGTATTTAATTTTGTAAGAAAAGAAAAATGCGTGTCTAATGTTTTAAATCAAAGAACCAGACGGAAATTAAAATAAAATTTAGGAAACTACCTTATTAATTATATTTATATTCTGAGTCGAAACAAAACCAAGAAGTTGCTGATATGTACTATTAAGCAGGTCATTAAGTTAAATTAAGTCAAAAAGTTAACTTATTTCCTTCATCTAAAAATGAAGTATTGTGATTATAAGTTCGAAACGGTGCATAATATTACAATAACCTTGTCCCCCTCTTGTTATATGGAAGTCATAACATAACTGGCTAAAGGTAAAAATAGTAGCAATATTAACGAAACAATAAAATCACCTTCCTTTAAAACAACTTTATTCTTTACTTTACATAAACCATTTTCTCTTTGCCAATTAAAAACCATCCAATATTCCAGGTATTAACACTAATGGGAAAAATGGAAACGCTTCGCGCGAGTGTCTGCGTGGCTCAGAACAAGAAACCCAATAAACCAGAGGAAAACAAGATCACAGTACTGAAGCGGGGACAGGAAGTGAATGAGAAAGAGAAAGAGGGAGTCGGAGTCGGAGTCGATCCTGCCACCTTCGACCCTAGCACTTGGAGGGAGGATATTAATCATTTGTCAGAGATGTGAGTACTAATTCATATGAATAATTCGACTGCACACAAAAACAAATATCATTACAATAGAAATAAAAAATACAGTCAAAATAAAAACAAAACATTAATAATAGATTTTATAAAAGAGAAAGCAGCATGGAGCATTTTTTCTTATGATCCACCATAAGGACGCTCGAGGGGTTAACTCCGACCAAACTCAAGAATTGACATCGATAATATAAAATGCCTATGTACCAAAATTGACAATATACCACCTTATGATCATCTTATTTATAATGTTCTGTTCCAGCGCCCCCCACAGTGAGGTAGAGAGCGCGATGTTAGCGTGGCGCAGTGCAGTGGGCGCTGTACAGGCCGCGAGACGACGGGAACTAGCGCCTCATCGGGCTCCGAGACCTGATCGTACGTATATAACATAACATCACATATCCCAAAAGGGTAGGCAGAATTGTACATTACGGCACTTAATGCCACTGCACAATGTTACACCCATTTTTCACTATTTATGTTATGAGTCCCATATAATAGGGGGTGAGCCTATTGCCATATACCGGGCACAAATCCAGTCTCCGTGCTACAACTGAGATTTTCTTTAAAACCCAGTAGTACTTTGCCCGACCCGGGAATCGAACCCGAGACCCCTTGCCGCCCAGTTCCACTTGCGATCACTCGGCCAACGAGTCAGGCAGGCAGAGGTAGAAACTTAATAAAACGCATAATATTTTCTAATTCACGTCGTTGCGGGAACCAAGACTGTTATTCATGTCCCTGGGATGCGCCGGACTTCAGTGTTCTGGTGTTTTCATGGTTGTATCTACTGTAGATCCTGGCTTACAGGAGTTGCAGCGGTTTTGGGAGGCTTGTCCCAAAAATAAAAACGCATAATATATTGTCCTGTCGTGGCTCGGAGGTTTAAGACGCCCGCTTCTCACGCATGAGGGTGCAGGTTCGAAACCTACCAACGGCAAGTACCAATGTGACTTTTTCCGAGTTATATGTACTTTCTAAGATTATCTAGATACCACTGAGAAACGGTGAAGGAATAACATCGTGAGGAAACCTGGACTTATAATTTCTAATTATAAGTTTGAAATCGCCAACCCGCATTGAGCAAGCGTGGTGATTAATGCTCAAACCTTCTCCGTGTGAGAAGAGGCCTTGCTCAGCAGTGGGCACTTATAGGCTGTTGAAGATGATGATAATATAATTGACTGATTGCACGATTGGTGCGGTGGCTAGGCGACCGGCTGGCTCCCCCTGCGGTGCCCTATGTGGCCCACTGCGACGACGACGGCGACACAGTGTCGGAGGTACCAAGAACACCGCCCCGGGACCCGACGGACTGCACGGCAAGGCGTGGGTCCTGGCCTCGGAGGCTCTCGAGCTTCGATTTGTTTCTACAGCGCATGCTTGGAGAGGGGCCAGTTCCCGCTATTGTGGAAGGCGATTAAATTGATCCTCCTGAAGAAGCCGGGGCGCCCTGCGGACTCGCCATCCACGTACCGTGTTGCTCGACGAGGTGGGAAAAGTTTTCGAAAGGATCATTTCGAACCGCGCCTCGTCGCGCACCTGTCGGATGTTGGGCCGGACTTGTCGGACGGCCAGTTCGGCTTCAGCAGAGGGCGCTCCACGGTGGACGCCATCATGCGTGTAAGAAACCTCATGACGGGGACTGCAGTGTCCAGAGGTAAGGTCGTAGTGGCGGTGTCCTTGGACATCGCCAATGCCTTCAACTCCCTGCCCTGGAGCTGCATTTTGGAGGCACTTCGATATCATCGGGTGCCTCCAAATCTGCGTCGTGTAATCGAGCCATATCTGACGGAACGGTCCGTCATTTACCCCGGTCACCGAGGTGAGTGGAACCGGCGAGAGACGTCGCGCGGTGTTCCACAGGGTTCGGTTTTGGGGCCGCTCCTGTGGAACATCGGCTATGACTGGGTACTGTGCACCGACCCCCCGAACAACGTCAGCGTGGTCTGTTACGCTGACGACACACTGGTGTTAGCACACGGGAAGTCGCATCAGGCGGCGGCTAATTTAACGGCGAGAGCGGTTACGACAGTCGTTGTAAGGATCCGGCAACTGGGACTCGAGGTGGCGCTCCACAAGTCCGAGGCCATGTGTTTTCATGGCCGCGGGAACGCGCCTCCTCCGGGTGAGTCCCAAATAACGGCGGGAGGAGTTTCCATCGGCGTCTCGACGCCGATGAAGTACCTAGGACTCGTCCTCGACAGTCGATGGAACTTCGTGGATCATTTCCGACGTTTGGTTCCTAAGTTGAAAAGGACTGGGGCGGCGCTAAAGCGCTTCCTACCCAACCTCGGGGAGCCAAACGCCTCCTGCCGGAGGTTATACGCCGGGGTCGTGCGGTCCATGGCCCTCTACGCGGCGGCTCGCTCGGGCGCTGCTTATGGCATAGAGGGTCATGGCGATCCGATTCATCCGCGGATACCGCACGATCTCTGGGGAGGCGGCGAACCTCCTTGCCGGATTACCGCCGTGGGATCTGGAGGCGAAGGTGCTCGCGCGCGTATTTTGTTTGCGCGCGGGGAGGCACGTCGCCGGGGCGAAATTCCGCTGCCGCGCCAGATTTTTTGTGATCACTTTGTGTGATCCACAAATTGTTGTTTCGGGTCTGGGTGTCTTTGTGTATGTGAACTTGTATGTTTGTAAACGTACCCACGACACAGGAGAAAATCCTAATGTACTATTAGTATTTATTTATTATTTATTTATCCTAATGTACTATTAGTACTTGTCGTTGGTAGGTTTTGAACCCGCACCCTCGTGCATGAGAAGCGGGCGTCTTAAACCTCCGAGCCACCACGACGTATCACGACACATCTAGCTTGACAAACATTATTTTCGTCACGTTATTTCAAAGCACTTTAGTTTTAAATGCAATAATGTCCCCCAGCGATCCTGCAGCTGTCGGAGGCGGTGAAGGCGCTGAGTGAGTGCGCGCGGCGCGCCCGCTGCGCCATGTGGTGCGACCTCACGCTCACGGTCGCACTCGCGCCGCACAACAACGACCGCGTCGCCGTACGTATTATACATGTTTCTGAGTCTCCTAATATACATTTGTTTACAGAAAGTTCATCAAAGTTTGCCTACAGGTTTAAAGGGAAATGTTTGGTTTGACATTATGCGGAATTTGGTCGAAAACTCAGTGTTGACCGTATTAAACCTTTAACTGCCAACAAAAACTGTTAAAGGCCAATCCTCCGCTAGCATCGGACGTCATTGTCCAACACGGCATCCCATGTGTTAATTAATTTCAGCTTAGTAGAAAGTAGAATATGTTATTTCAGTTAAATGTTACCAAACGCCAATGCCAACATACCCGATTCATCTCGTTCATATATCATTCCTTTGTACTTATTTTTTGAAAACAATCTAAGGGACACAATTTTAAACTCAAGAAAGAAAACTGATCAGACGTTTTAGCTTCGTTTGCTTTGTCTCATCCCCAGTTCACATTAAATACGTCGAAATTATAAACATTTTTACACACTTGTATCAAAAAAATCACGCGACGATTACTAGGAATCATAGTTCAATATAATACTTTGCATATTCCAGGTGGACACAGCGTCCCCAGTATCTCCTCAGACCCCGGCAGCCAAGTCCCCCGCGGGAGCAGAGAGTACTACCACCACTACAGCTACTCCTGCTGCACCTGCCACCCAGCCTGCAGAGGTAAGCAATGTATTTATAGGTTGACTTTATCTCTAACCAAGTACTCAAAAATCTGAATATAGGTTTATGACAGTATGAAATTGAGGAGTTGAACCCCTCAAATGTCTTATGCACGGTATAATATGCCTAACTATGCACATCTAAGTGTAGGAGAGCCATGCTTCGTCACGAATGGTCTGGCTCGACCGGAGTCATACCACGGCCTTACAGCAAACCGACGTGAAACAACGCTTGTGTTTCATCGTGTTAGTGAGGTTACCGGAGCTTAATTAACAACTCCCCCCCCCCCCTCCCCAGTTTCCCCAATCCCTGAATCCCTCATAATCCTCAAATTCCCAATTCCTAAAACGCCGGTAACGCACTTGTGACAGGTGTTTGTCTCTTGTGTCCTCTGGTGTTTCAGGAGTCCATGGACGACAGCGATTGCTTACCATCAGGTGATCCAACTGCTCGTTTACCGGCTTATGCCATAAATAAAACATTATGTGCATTCATCACTTATCTTCCGACAGTCAAAGAGTTAAAAGACAGACAGGCCTCAAAAAACCAAACTAGCTGGGAAACGACTAGGAAAAATAGCTTAGCAAATAATTTGAAGCTTTTGAGTGTATTACTCTTCTAATCTATATTGAAGATATATATTAGATATATTATATATTAGAGACTATATTTGGTGATCTGTAACATATGTAAACAGACACCAGTCTCTTAATTGTAACATATTAAATAATTTTTATCCGTAGAGTACTTTTGAGAAAATAAAGATTTTTATTATTATTATTTATTTCCTTTATTTTTACATTTTTAAATATTTGATTATATAAAAAAAAACATTTAAAAATATAAAAAGCAGTAGCCCACCAGTAACGGGAGAAATCCAAGCTACCGGTGGTCAGGGCTCCAGAGAAAGGAATTTACGGACAATACGCGCCGTGTCCAGAAGTACTGCTTTCTGCATCATATTTATTATTATTATTATGTTACTTAAAAATCTTGTTACCCAAGTATTGGTCGCCAGCAAACAAAGGTCTCACATCCCAAATATAAATTTCCAGGAAAAACCACCCGCCGAAGCGCAACAAACAAAAACTGAAACCAAAAACGAAGCGAAACCCGCTGCAAAACAGACTGAAAACAAAGAGAAAAATCAACAACGACGCACACAGAATTATAGAAAAGTGAACCAACGTAGCGACTTCTATCAGAAGAACCAAAGGTATGATACGAGATTTATGCATAACCGACATCCCTATCACTACCTCGCGACCGGACCTATCAACTAAGGCCTAGTTACAATACGTATTTGGCAATATTAATTTTTAAATAATATTTATAATGGTATAAGGTTTGAAAGGATAAACGCAAGGGTTTAAAGATACTGGTTCAAATAGATTACTATGAACGGAAATTACTTGTTTTAGCACTACACATTACACACGAGACGATTTCAGAACGAATGAATACGGTGTGAGGCGCCATGTTGAATAAAATATAGCAATAATTGAAAAATTATTATTTTTTTGTACCCAACGTCTAAGACCAATAGATTAATTTTCCTTGGTTCGTGCTATTTTTTCCTCTTTCTCGGTACGTACAAATCATGGCCGAAAATGAAACATCTCCTTTTCTCACCCTGTTTTATGTAGGATTCATAATTCTTTAAAAATTTACACTTTCTATGAAAATTGACGTGAATAATCTATTTAAAATAATTATGACTTAACTGTTTTTTTTAATGTCCAAAAATGCTAAAACTTCCTAAGTTTCATTGCTTAAACCAGTATCTGAAACAACTTGCGCTTGTTCACTTACATCTAGAATGTAAACTATTTCGAGGACTTCCCGACTAGTTTCGAACTACACCGGGGCTCTTAAGAGAGTATAAATATTATTTAAACCTAATATGTTAAGAAAACATATTGAACCTTATTTGAATTGACTTAAGAAATAGATTTATTCGATATTAGATATATGGAATTGATGTTTATGTCGTGTTGAATTATTCAAATTTTTATTAAGAAATATTAATTTATGGTCTTAATGATGCTAGATTCTTGCGTGTAGTTACTTGCGCTAAATAAAATGAATGCGCTAAAGTTTGCGCAACGTTGAATTGTCCGTTAGTCTAGTATTGACGATGGAAAATCAAATTATATCTGATTTTTTGCTACTTTTCACTATAAATTTGTGAATTTCAAAATAATAAAGATTTTAAAATCTTCTGGTTTCTAATTGATCCAATTTCATAATAATAGTTGTACCCGACAGTCTAAAAAAGAAGTATTCGCGATATACTTTGATTTTTCGTCGCATAAACGTGTTTTGACGTAAGAAAATAAGCCTTAAGGAATTTAAATTGTATCGATGTGTAGAACTTGCCTTATGATTCAATTTGAAATTATTGAATTAAATGAAAGATCTGAGAAACTAAAAAAAGAATAAAATGCTTTACTTATTATTAAATTCTCTAAACGACTGAGCGAGACAAAGCTATGACAGCTACGAGTTAGAAAGAGATAGATGTATTTCAGCTTATTTATAAAAATACAAATAAGGTTCAATATTAAGTGAGGAGCTTGTCTGAAGTATGTTTATAGCCTTATTCTGACGTCGATAGTCTATTTTCCTCTTTATAACAACTGTAGTTTTTGAAGTTAGAAACTCATTTCTGATTGGAGAAAAAAAGGTTTTATTTCGATAGTAAAAAATATTTAATAGATTATGCCTTTCCTACTGCCATTATTATACGCTTAAAATTCGTTACTATAATATCAAAGATACAGATGTTTTTAAGTCATCGAGAATTGAGTATAACATATTAGAATTGAGCACCAAATCTCATGCTTCGCTCAATTTTTTATAATAAAAATATATTTTTTACTTTCAAAACATAAACACTGTTTTTAATAAAGAAGTTTTTAATCATCACACGCTCAAATCTCCTTATTTTATGCTCAGTTTTTTTCTAATAATGCTCAATTCATGTTGTACTTAATTTTTAAGCTTGTAAAGTGAAAATAGTTACTTTTGTCGTTGGAATAAGGTCTAAAATAACTTCGGACTATACAATATATGCATATGCATCACCAAAAGCATTTTATCATGAACGTTTTAAATTCTTAATCGCCTCACAGTAATAAAAGTATGAAATTTGGAACAAAAAAAACGTATATTTAATAATAATTCTGCTATAGTCAGTATTGAATGTTGGTAGATGAAAATTTTATGATATATCGGTGTTTTAGAGTTTTAATGATTAAAGTTTAATATTATGGATGTGCTTTTTAACCCTGCATAGAGCGCATAGTGCCCATTATCGGAATATGAGCTTATAATATACCCTGACTCTAGACCAATTTTCTCTTAAGCAATTTACACAGATTTTAATCGAACACGAAATTTCATACTTCTATTACTCGCGGCCGAGAAAGGGATTGATGCAATCATAGATATATCATATCAAGATACAAATAATTTAGGGGCACGAAGTCACTTTTTACGATTGATTTGAAAAATTGCATTTATGTACGATTTTAAACGCTATTGACGTGTATATTAGAACGATTTTCGTTTATATAGAAAAAAAACTGCATATCTTTTGTACTTTCATAGATTTTAAACAGTTCCGGTGTCCTTTATAGGAATTTCGCGTTTCTATACCTATTTATTACTACTCAAGAAACTGGAAGTTTAAAAAAATCTCAATATATACGCTTCAGTATTTTAAAACCGTACACAATCATAAAAGGTGTACGTCGCAAAGACTAAAACAGGTATAATAGAGACCACACTTTAATTATTATAAAGCGAATATAATAATTATTAATAACTACATTATTATCACTCTGTGTGTAGGTTAATAATTGCCAGTATCAGATTTGCATTATTTATTCAACGCGCTTAGCTGGATGACTTTAAAAAGTATTATTATGATGAAGGCGTATTATTGGTCGTTTCAGTGATACTTGCCAAATTATTACGGTGTGAGCGATGTCAAAGAAAGGCGTTGGATTTGAAAAGTGAAGTAGAGAGGTTAGCCAGATAGGTCGCTTTTCGAATTAAATGTTTAGACGCATTAGAATAGATTAGCGCGAGTGAACGGTACGAATTAATTTATTCAAAACGTTTTGATTGGATGGAAAATAATGTTAAAACATTTCCAATCTCTACAGTACACTTAGAAGCAGTTTCTAGTCACATCGTTAAACAAAGTATTTTTATGAATGAATCGTTAGACATGTTCGTAGTTCTCGCTCACACCGACCTCAAAAATACCCTTAAAATGTGATGTTTCTACGTTATAAATAGTTGACACTATATTAATATATCACGTTTGTGCGAATAACAAAGGAAATATATATAAAATGAAGTTATGAACTATTAGAGTGTAAGTGTACCACATTTTATTTATTTAATTGAGAAAAAGAAAATAAAAAACAATGAATTTAAATTCGAATGAATTTGTATAGTTGATAGTTAGTGCTTATTCGGATGTTGGGACGTACTGAATCGTTATATGGGGCGGTGCAATAATATCGTGTTGAAAAAAATGCAATTTATTCCTATTACAGCTTCGGTATTTAAATAATTGCTTAACAATGTAATGGGCGTAGATTATATTTTTCGTAGACAGATCATTGTTGTTCCCGCCCTAAGTGTTGTATAAGGGTGAAGCTTCAAACGACGAGTCGGCTAGTTTTCGTCAATTCTTTATAAAATTTAATTTGTACTGTAGCGTTTAACCCTTACCTCGTTGCTACGGTGCGAATAAAGTTATTATTAGTAAAATATATGCACCTGTGTTCTTATATTAAATGTTACGGCCAAATGAATTGACTTGCTGATGGGTCAGTTCGATAATAATATTAGGTTAAATTTTTCTTTAGTCATTTTTTGCGTGGACGTTCAGAATCATTGTGGGGTTATCGTTGTGTCGTAAAGGATCGGTATAACGGTTCTCAATACATTTAAAATTTAACGTACAGTGCACAAACTGCGGACGCAGAACGTAACCAAAATGATAGGGTAAAATGAAATCTTCCATCTTTAGTTTGTTAGTATGTAAGAACAAAATATTAGTTATTTAATTATTATTATTATTTTCACATTATTATTATTATTTGTTTAAACGTGTAATCGTACCGGTTCCTTTGTTTAATTATGACTCGTAATAGAGTTGTGTTAAGGTTTGTTGTCCAATATATATCTGCTAAGGAACCGGTAGGTACATAATAGGTTTATTTAATCAATTACGATGGCTATAGATATTTTATTAGTATTCGTTGATTGTAGTGCCTTCCTATATAAATGTGCATGCATTTTAAGCCCTATGCAGTGTTGTACAAGCATTCAAATTAGTTGTTTGAAAATACCGTTGAATTTTTCATAGTTTTTTTTTTAGTTATACCTTACTTGTGATGCATTTCCGTGTGCAATAAGCTTTATTTATTTTTTTATACGCACTCGTTGTGCTCATTGGGAAGTGGGGTTGGTTTTAGTAGAAAAATTGGAATTGGTAGGATTTTTGGTAGGAAAACTGACATTGCCATATGAAAAAATTAGGTGTATATTTTTTTGGCTTCGTAATTATGACCAGTTTAGCCGCCTAACTTTTGAAAGGTACATTCGATGTTCTGTGAGCGTTCAAGAGACCCAACCGACCCCATACATAGGCTTCCAAATTGATATAATATATTTAAAAGGATATTAGTACAATCAATTCGCACTTAGCGTTTGTAGCATGTAGTCAAAGATATTCTTGTTCTCAAATAAAAAAAAATATATAGCACAATATTTAAATGAAATATTTAGTTTTATAGCTAATTAGTAGTTAGTTAATTTTTCGTCCTATCGAATGCTGACTATATTTGTAACTGAGAAAAGAAAAAATAAATTTTTTACTTCACTGTTTTTCCAATGTTGCCATATAGTAACTATTTACCTCAATCACTGTCTTGCAAGTAGAAAAAATTCTATTTATGTATTATTTTTTCTTTTTTCTTGTGCAAACCGAAGGTACTAAGTGTCATTGCAGTTTTTAAAAAGTTTATTATATGTGTTAGATGAATTCTTTAAGTCTTGGCTACATTGAAATGCGAAGCTATGATATGCGAAGATATAAAATGAATTTATATTTAATTTAATGAATTGTTGTTTTTTTTTTCAAATTTTTATATAAGAGCTAGATTGTTTTGAAATGAATTATTTGGGCGTTAGAATTAGGTTAGTTAAATGTTTTTGATGAAGTTTCTTGTCTATTTTGAATTTTGAAGTTCAGTTATAA